TTTCCCTTTCGCGATCAAGTCATGCACAGCTCTCTCCCTCCCATTCTCCGGCCAGCAGCTCCACTGCCAAGTCATTAGAAGCGGCTGCGAGACCGAACCCTTCGTCTTGACCGCTCTCATCTCCATGTACTGTAAGTGCGGTTTGGTCGAAGAAGCACGCAAGGTGTTCGACGAAACTCCCGTGTCGATGCTTCTCGGCGTTTGTTACAACGCTTTGATCTCTGGGTATGCCGCGAATTCCAAGGCTTTCGATGCAGTGAGTTTGTTCCGTAGAATGAGGGAAACTGGCGTGTCTGTGGATGGAGTTACGATGCTAGGTCTTGTTCCGGTTTGTACTGTTCCTGAGTTGCTTTGCCTTGGGATGTCCCTTCATGGGCAATGTCTTAAAGATGGAATAGATGCCGAGTTAGCTGTCCAGAACAGTTTCATCACAATGTACATGAAATCCGGGTCTGTCGATTTAGGTAGGAAGTTGTTCGAGGAGATACCGGTTAAGGGTTTGGTTTCATGGAACGCGATGATTTCCGGGTATGCCCAGAATGGGTTTGCCTCTCATGTTTTGGAACTATACGAGAAGATGAAATCTTCAGGCGTTCGTCCTGATCCTGTAACCTTGGTCGGCGTTCTGTCCGCCTGTGCTTATCTCGGAGCTCGGAGCATTGGGCAAGAGGTAGAGCTTCTTATAGAAGCAAATGGGTTTGTTTCGAATGTGTTTCTCTGCAACACTCTGATCAATATGCACGCGAGATGCGGTAACTTGGCAAAGGCTCGTGCCTTTTTCGACAGAATACCCATTAAAAATATAGTTTCATGGACTGGAATGATAGGCGGATATGGGATGCATGGACTGGGAGAGAAGGGGCTCGAGCTTTTCGATGAGATGGTTAGAAGCGGTTTAAGACCTGATGGAACAGTGTTTGTGATGGTTTTGTCTGCTTGTAGCCACTCAGGGCTAACAGAAAGGGGTTTAGACTATTTTACAGCGATGGAGAGAGAGTATAAACTTGAGCCCGGACCAGAACACTATTCCTGTGTGGTCGATCTTCTCGGGAGAGCTGGTCAGCTAGATGAAGCTAGGGAGCTCATAGAATCAATGCCCATTGAGCCAGACAGCACAGTTTGGGGCTCTCTGTTGGGTGCCTGCAAAATTCATAGAAATGTAGATATGGCAGAGTTAGCTTTCGAGCGGGTAATTCAGATAGAACCCACGAATGTCGGCTACTACGTATTGATGTCGAATATATATTCCGACACCAAGAACGTAGAGGGTGTCTCGAAGATTCGAGCAATGATGAGGGAGAGGAATTTCAGGAAGGAGCCTGGATACAGTTATGTGGAACATAAGGGGAGAGTTCACCTGTTTCTGGTCGGGGACAAGAGTCATGAGCAAACAGAGGAAATATATAGAATGTTAGATGAGTTAGAGACCTTTATAATGGAGATTGGTGAGGAGGGGAGCTGTGATAAATGCAAAGAGGTACCACCAAGCAGTATGCGTGAGCATAGTGAGAGGTTAGCGATAGCGTTTGGGATTTTGAACACCGATCCAGGCTCGGAGATTCTCGTGATAAAGAACTTGCGGGTTTGTGAAGATTGTCATGTCTTCATCAAGATGGTTAGCAAGATTGTGGACCGTCGGTTTGTTGTTAGAGATGCAACCAGGTTCCACCATTTCAAAGATGGGGCTTGTTCATGCAAAGACTACTGGTAATATAATAAGTTATACAAACTGCCACTTACATGGAATGTCTGCAAATGATGATGTCATCAAGCTATACATGTCAGAAGGATGCCTGTAAGAAGTTTGATGCTTGAGCAATACAATAACTTAGTCGGTTTTGTTGTGGTTTGCTATGGAAGTTCCAATTCGGTAACATGTTCGTCTTCAACGAACGGGATGGTTTTCCGGACAATCACCTTCAGGGGAGCACCTGCGAAAATGAGGAAAGTTTTGAAGAAGCGATAACGGACACTTCATAATATCAAATCCTACCAATCCTGAAATCGCACCTCCGCTTGTTTTATCCTCTCCAACGCAGATTGCAGCAAAATGATAACCAGCCAACTCCAAAAGGGCAAATTTCCATTCATTATTACATTTTTCTGCATCATCAGGCAACTTCAAAGTGATCTCTGATGCCTGGTAGGAACAGTGGAAGACAGGTTGTTAATGCTCTATTGCCACTCTTTCTGTTGAAGACTATTATTTTGCAAATGCAAAACTTTTGTTAATACCAATTGAAAAGAGAAAACGGGATTGATCACAATGATTCTATTCATTTCCAGAGTTTGATGAAATTTACGACAAACCTTGGATAGACCGTAGCCTCCATTCATTTCAGTCCTGGATCGGATTGTAAATGTATTGAAAGGTGAAGCGGAGAATCCTCTTCCTAGGGCTTTCACATATGCCTCCTGAAAGTAGCGCCCCAGTCACAATTTGCAGGCTCTGAGTGAGAGTATATGAGTAGGTGGTATAAACTTACCTTGAGAATCCATAACTTGATGAATTCCTCCCGCTGAACCTCAGCGTCTGGTAAACTTGACAGAAAGTTCACTTCATCGGACGAGAAATATCTTCTAGCGAACGCCAAGACATCATGTGTTATACTCCTTCTCTTGTCTTCGACATCAATACCAATCTGCAGTCACAGTAAACTGGAGGAGATCAAATTCACCATTGACTCGAAAGCAAGAATATTTCACTGTTTACCAAAGTCACAATTTCCAAAGCATATATATATATATAATAAGCACAATGCGCATTGGGTAACTTGTTGACTTACAGGGACATTTACAGTCACCCCACAGGCTATCAATGAACTTGTGTGAGAAAGGTTGAAATGCAATGATGGGTTGTTAGCACATTTCTCATCATCTTGCCAATCCACCTGTGAGGGAGAAAGGAGAGCAAATAATATTCATCTGTTCTACACAGAAATATGATTTTTCAACCTATATCTCATATTACTCTCTCTTACCTCAGGCTTCCCATAAATATTCTTCTTAAACTTCAAGGATCTAGGATCCACTTCATTATTTACCAGATCTAGCATTTTATAAAAAAAAACCCATAAGGTTTAACGCTCTGAAAGCGCAAAGAAACCAAAATTTTAACTTGAAAAGACAATGAATCTCAAATTAAGTAATATGCTTAAAGGAAACAGAGTGAAAGATCTTTTTAGAGCAGAAAGTCGTAAGGAAACAATCTCAAAGTTGAGTTTTACTTTTGAACCATAACCAGGAGATTGCCTTAGCAAAATGCTGCTTGTTGCAAGGAAATGTTTAGCTTTAACAAATAAGAAACTTGCGATTGATCACTTTCATAGAGAAGAAACCTAAAGGGCAGTTCCAATCGAAGGGTATTAGAAGATTTAAAGGTTAAGGGAGCGAACATACATCTTGAAATTGTAGTCCGAACCAGCGCACGGGCAAGCAAAGCCTTTTTCTTGAGGTCATCGCCTCGCATCTGGAGAACATTATCTTTCTCGCATGGTGACAGAAGCTCAGAATACTGTCTCAGAAGAGATTCACTCTTCACCTCGTCAGGAAGTACATACCACAGATGAGCTTCCCTACAACCCCAAGACAGAGTATCGAAAAGCATGAAAATACGAACATCTAAGCCTAAAAGCAAGTGATAGGAGACTACACTACGAACTGGGACGTTTCAGCCATTCTTGACCCTTTGAACAATTCTGAGTAGTATAACAAATCACTTGCGACGGGTTTCCGATTGAAACCCTAATGGAAAAGTTTGAAATCTTGCACAATAAGCTACTCACATTCGAGATGGGAGTTGCACGGGAACAAGAGGAGGCAACTCAGTCGAGAAACTCCGTTGCACTTGCGTCATTGCACCGAATCTCATCTCCGCCGGAAACAATGTTTACGCCCTTTAGAGAAAATCCCAAAATCGCCACCATCAAATGAACATAGAACATACAAATGGGGATACCAAATCCGCCTGTAGGAGAACACCATCAAAGAGCTGAATCAAACTTAAAATTCGGAAACAGGCGAGGCGACCCGTTGAATCTTCTGAAACCATCGGTCACGATTCAATCAAAACGGACATCCTACTTTAACAGAGAGAGAGATCGCGCCATCGCAACAAAAAAAAACAAACGAAAAGAAAACTTACCGGCTGTAGCTGTGACGAGGAGGAGACCGGCTATATAAATCCGGCCACACCGCCACGGGCTTTCTCAACTTTTCTTCGAGATTGGTGCTGGCCCAGGAAAGAAAGGTTAGGCCCATTATAAAACAAAAAAAGGCCCATATAAGGGCCCATCATCTATGGGTCCAATTTCAACCCTAAACCTTCCCAAACTTCAGCCCATTCATTATATTGATTTTTTTTTGTTATTTAAATGAGTACACTGATTCACGAAAACATTGCATATTACATTCCTTGATACGCAAGCAAGCCCCAACGGACATAACCCTATTAATCCATCCGACAAAACCCATCGCATTACATTCCAAAAAAAAAAGTAATAATGAAAGGAAAAATAAAACCATGAATGTTTTTACCGCTGCGCTTCGAGAATCTCCACTCGGAAATTCACACGTCCGACCATCCTACTTGCCTTCGACCTCTCTCTCAGTTTTCACCAAAGGGTTCTTTCGATCTCCTCTGTTCACGCTCGACACGATCTTACACGGACAGCTTTGGATCAGAGATTTAATGTCGTCCGTTGGAGACAAAGGATCTGGAGATTCGTGTTCTGTCACAGAATCTTCTTCTACCATTTCCGCCGGAGAACATCTTTGCTTTTCGTTACAGTAATTCGATACTTCTTCCTCTGCTTTCACGAGATGCAGTAGTTGAAGACTGGTGCTTTGGTCGCCATTCTGGTCTGAAGGTCCTGTATTCGAGGCTGGAACCGATCTGAGCGGAGATTCTCGGCGTTCTTTGAGCGTCCTGACGATAAGGTTCTTGAGAAAGTTTATAACTTGCACCGCGTACATCAGAGCCGTCAATGGATCTGACATCTGCAAACAGATCATTACTAGAAAAACATCACCAAAGGAATAGATTTGCTCTCAATACCCATGTGGGAAATTTCAAGAACATGAAACTAATAGCTAGATATTCTGGGCTTAAAATGAATGGAATTGGAAACCAGTTGGTTAAAGGCATGGATCGGTGGGCATATAACGGACTAACCTGGGTCATGTTCGGGGCAAAAACCATAGCGATATTACGGGCACTCATCTTGTTAAGATGTTCAATCTCTGCAACATCAGCCATCAGATTGATTGCCCAATCAAGTAAAGCAGCTTCGGTTGGGGGAAGAAGAGTCACGAGCCGGGCACACTCTTCTTCGGTCTGAGACCCCATTACTTGATCCGGCGAGAGAGAATCCAACACACCTTTAGGAAGTTCCCTAAACCATGCCTGGGCGAAAAAACCCGCAACTGAATCAAAACACGCCGATGACGAGGCAGATCGGCAAGGAGAAGAACCGATTCACACTGTGAATCCATATACCTTGATGAGACCAGCCAAGCAATGCGCATCAATGTTATCCGGTATGAGACCTCTATTCAAGTGCTCCCTTATGTCCTCCTCCTGAGAGTTCTCACCATTTATTCTGAAAATCCCCTCTGCCTATGGCAACGGCAACAGAAGTTTGAATATAACGTTGATCTTGCATTGCATATTTGCAACTAAACCACAATGAAATAACTTTCGTTGCATGAGTGAAACTTTAATCATCTCCAAAGATTATGAAATCATCAGCAACCCGCTTCTCTTTTGAGAGTACAAAGAGAGTGACCAACATCATATGCGTATATATGTATGTATCTATGTGTATGAAGTGAACAGCTAATATCATGGTTGTTCATGCTTTGAGTTCATACAAAACATCATCTTTCCACAAATGTAAGAACTTTCATCTTCTAATTCATTGATTTCGCACATAAACAAGAATAAACACACACACCTGCAGTCCACCTTTGGCACACAAGTGTCTCTGCATCATCAAGAGTATGGTAGGAACACTATTCCCTCTAGAATCAAACGAGAGCTGCATCGACTCCGTGGATACTCCAAACACCGTGCAACTGCGTTTTAAACACATCATTTTCAACAAAACGTCAAAAGATTTTCGTGCAAAACAGTCTGAATTAAGCGTTCATATTGCATTTCTAACCGACTGAAGCAAGTTGACAAAACCATCCGGTAGATAAGGAGAACTCTATTTCGTTAAATATCAAACAGTTGGGATTTCAATGCTTGGGGACAGTATAGTAAACATTGACAGAAGTACACTCTCCAACAATATCAACAAGGGGGCTTCAACCTTGATAGGAGATGAGAGATTTGGACAGAGCTTAAGTTGTCACTGAAAATAGAAACCAAACCCTTAAATTCTATTGCAAAGCAAAAGAAGAAGGAGGATGATAGGAGAGAAGGAAGATAAACTTCTAACAGAATCTTAGAACAGCCTCAAAAGATTTACAGAGCACGAATCATCAGTCCAATAAAACAATGAATCGACTTGATTTGGGAGAATAGAAAAAAACAGAAAACGGAAGGAGTGAAGAAGCACAAACCAAAACTTGCTAAGCAACCACAAGAAGTAAATAATCACCAAGAACAGATTTTTCAATATATTGTCAAACCAGAAAACTATCAGAGCCCAAATCAGCATCCAACTTTTTGTCATCTTTGAGCGAAACCCCATGAACCAATTACCAGAAAGGAGCGAACTTGATTTGAGAAAAAGGGTAAACAAGAAAAAATAAAAATCAAAAGCTGCAAATGAAGAAATCAAACCTTGCACTAGGAGCCCTCCTTGGGACCTCTGGCTCGAACTCAATGGGCAAACCAAGGAAGCCATGGAACCTATCAAAGGTGACATGAGCGATATGCCTAACATTTGTAGGAACCCCAATCTCCATTGAACAAATATCTTCTCCAACACAACCGCCAATCAAAGACTTTCTGAAAGCAGAGACCAAAAGCGTCAATGCGGACAGCTGATTACCCTTTTCTCCCTCTCTTTCGCTTCTTCTTCTTTCTTCTTCTTCTTCGTATTCTTCGTTGTCTCGGAAAATATTAAAAAGGGCATGTGGCGTTGCAATGACATCGCCTTCGTATAGAATAGAAGAGGAGCTTGAAGGTGAAGAGAAGTAAGATGATGAATTTAGTACCTCGGCCATTTTTACTTTCGCTTTTCTTTTTCCTCCACCATAAATGGGTTGATAATGAAATCAAAATCAAATCTTTGAGTTGTTGGCTGCATCAAGAAAGGGGGAGGAACACTGTAGAAGTCAAAATCAAGCTCAAGAAGCAATCCTTTCTCGGATTTTCCAAGACAAAAGAAATGGAATTTACTAAAATGATTTTGTTGGGAGGTTCAGCGAGAGAGGTAAGAATTATACTTTCTGGGTACGCGTAGAGTTGGATTGAAGGGAGGATTTTGGTCGGTGGGAAGTCATAATCATATTACAGATCTTCCTCTTCATTTCCTTTCAATGCACTTTTATCCATACACACACAGTCGACTGAAGAGAAAATATGGAATTGCGTAGATAGAAGATGAGGGATTGATGGAAAGGGAGAATGATATGCCAACCTGTACAAACATATATACATATGTATGTATGTATGTATGCATGCATGTATCCCTTCCACGAAGAAGTCTTGAGCAGCCACGTTACATTTCTTTTGCTAAACATATAAAATAAATTAATAACTCATTAGTTACATGCAATATCGTTCATTCATCTTTGTAAACCACTTTTTTTTCTTAATGATATTCTAAGAGAAATAATTTGATCTTATTTTTATGGCAAAATATTAGATAAATATATTATTATCTATATTGTATAGATACCGAAGAATGGCAAGTTACAATTTTATCCTAAAAACCGAATAACACTTGGTCACATGTTAGGCTTGGTTCCACTTTCACATAATTTTTAAGACATTATTTCCTTTCGTTTTGCAAGGAAACATTTTGATTGGAAGCATGGGAAACATTTACATAAAGATCTCCAAGCCTAATGATAGAGGTTCATATGCAAAAAAGTTTCATCATAAGATCAGCAAATTCCAAGAATTTCACTCATCAGTGCAAATCACAAATCACAAAAGATGATTACAGATTTGGAGGATATAACACAGATATGAGATTCAAGATTTACCCACAGGCTCAAGAGCTTCAACAGTGACAACACTGTTTCCTCTTATCACCCGCAAAATCCTCCAAACAACAAAATCTGGTTGATGTGATTTCTAGGTTTTGAAGGGGGAAAAAAAGCAAGAATGACATATATAGAAACTCGGACTTACCGGCATGCCAATGTCGGTACTGTCACCGCCGGTCATGTCCACGGTGTTGTCCACAACGAGGTTCATGAACTGGTCGAACCCGCGGAGAGCTTGACTGCATTCACCATTGATAATGATTTTGCTTATTATCGGTTAAAAACAACGATACATGGAACTTCATCCGTACAATATAATGGCAGACCTTTCCTAGCTCCAGGTTCGGTACCATAACATGCAACCAGCAAAATCTGTGAGATAGAGAGAAACAAGGAATCTACTCATGTAAAGGCAGATTTCAATACGCGGATCCCAACAACAATTTATTGCAAAAACCTTGACCAGATAAATCATTCCATTCAAGAAAAAATCGGAAGCTAGGCACATTTCTTGAAACTACTTAGATTAACTAATAACTATACATAGAAAGTTGAACAGACGGAACAAAGCGACTACGAGTGGTCCGAATCTGCCAAAAACCAAAGACACGCTCTCAGTTTAGAAGAGGTAAAAGCCCTAGATAGCTACAAAATTACAAGGAAGAGGTAAACTTACTTTGAAGTTCCCTACCCATGTACCTGCATCCAAAGGAAAAACCCAAAAAAAAAACAAAATTTAAGGAAGAGAATGTACTTCTTGAGATCCGAGGGCTGTCCTGATCGGCTCATGGTTCCGGAGAGATGATAGAGAATAGGGTTTAGGAGTTTGCGGTGAGATTCCCAAAACCCTTTTGACCCTAAGGGGAAGAACTTCCGTCCGACATACAAATGCTAAGGCCATTAAGGAATAAGGATATTTAAAATAAAAATAAAAAGAGCTGACACTGCAAAGGGGGTGTTCCGAGAATCGAACTCGGGACCTCTCGCACCCGAAGCGAGAATCATACCACTAGACCAAACACCCAGCTTGTTTTGTGGAACCATACTTTGGAAGACAGATTCAGTTAAATTATAATTAACCCAAGTTTTGATGAAACAACATGAGAGGAAAACACCATCCAAACAGATCCATCAAACCAACTGCGTACCAAGCAAAGTAGTTGCATTAAACCAGAATCCAGAATGGCAAACATTACACTAAAGTCTCAGAATAGATTGGCCTAACAATATCCAACTGAAAAGCAAGGTAGAAACCCCAAAAAGACGGTCGCTCACTTGATCTTTTTCTTAGGCCTCAGCTGCACATACAAAGAAAGATGCAACTTTAGGTTCTCATCTCTTACAAGTTATGATATGTCTGAAATTCAAATACCTAAATGATTAAAAAAAAACGGAAATCCGACCTGGTTGCTATGACCACACTTCTTCTTTCTGCAGTTCACAGCCCTCGGGTGGAGACGAGCATAGCACCTGGTTCATAACCACATATAATTCAGCTTAAAACGTAACCAGAAATTCCATTGACAGCTCAAATTGTTTCTAACAAAATCAGAACTGAAGAATACCCAAATACAGGATCATTGACAATCCAAACCCACCTACTGATTATTGACTATGTGGGCTTTTTGGCAGATCAAAGGAAATATAACAGAGCAAGCTGATGTACCACTCAAGAAAATCAACTACATGTAATAAGTCAAATCGATATCGGAGATATAGTTGTTCTAAAAAGCCTGCAACAGCTGACCCTAGGCCCACCTCCGCAGAAGGTGTGTACTTGTGAGATGTTAGATGTCATCCTAATAATACCTTAAAATCGAATTTGAATCAGTCAAGAGAAGATTAAAATGACTAGGGAGGAATGGACAAATGAGGTGAATCAAAAAAGAAAAATATGAGGAAGCTCTTCAAAAGATGACGAAAACGACCCTATAGGGCATCCACTCTGTATAAAAGTTTTTTGAGTAGCAAAACATTATAGTTAAAAATTCAAAGTATTTTTTAAATTGAATTATTGGTTTTGACTCGCGCCTATTAGTAAAAAAGATAAGGTATTTAAAAAATTAAAAACACAAAATTATGAAGAAAAGGAAATTTAAAATTAAAAACATTCAGGAAATAATACAGTTTTGAAGAAATAACTCTAGAATATATCATAAACATAAAATAAAATTTTAAATACACCTTTCATCTCAAAGGTGCACGCCTATTTACCTTTCTTTATTGATGCGCAAAGCGCTTTTTAAAACTAAGATTGTATAAAGAATTCATTTGGCATATCGTTCTCCTTAGTTTTAAAAAGTACGAGACACATCAAGACACAAAAGTTAACTAAAGACTCGAGGGAAAGACGAACACCTCCGAGATACAAGAAAACAAAGATAAAAAAAAACTTAGCACATTTTCACTATAAGTTTCTTACACAACTTAAAATATCAAGACAACACTAGAAAGTCGGATCTTTTAGAATTTTTTTCATCTTCTTTCTCCGAGCTTCTACCTTACTTTAGTCACCATCAATTTTAACCATCTTCCTCGTGGCATTTTTCATTTTCCTTAACAGATTCAAATTCGATTTGAGGATTCTATTGGGATCACATCTCACATCTAATAACTCAAAAGCACACCTAGAGTTCACCTCAAGAATTTCGCTATGAGTCCAGGTTTGAAGGTGACAACCAGCTTGCCTGAGAGCCCCTAGCGCTCAGGCAAGTGTTTTCCATCCCATTGATAAATATATCATACCGGACAGATAATAATAAAAGCTCAACCATTCAATAGAAGTGTAAGCCTATAACCAACTATGAAATGAAGGAAGAAAAGAACAATTAAGCAATCGGAAGACTTACTTGCGGCAGATCATCTTGTCTTGATTGTACTTACGAGCCAATGCCATCAATGATGGCTCAATGATACCTCCTCTAAGCCTCAGAACAAGGTGAAGTGTAGATTCTGAAGAACATAGCAAACCAATCCAACGTGAAAATGCAATCTCATTGTGTATGTCAGAGCACCACAAATCGATTAACCCAGAGCGTGAAGCAAAACCTCTAAACCTACCAAATCTTGCCACTCAAGCGCACACCAAAACCAATAAAATCCTAAACCAAAGACAAGTAAAATAGAAACCCTAAAACCAAGAGTCCATGGAAAGAGGGCAAAACCTTTCTGGATATTGTAGTCGGCTAATGTACGACCATCTTCGAGCTGCTTTCCGGCGAAGATCAAACGCTGTTGATCCGGTGGGATCCCTGAACCAACGAAACACAAAGAATTAAAATCACCAAACTCTGAGATAAGGTAATAGTCATCGAAAAATTAAGAAACAGAGAATTGAGATTAATAATACCTTCCTTGTCCTGGATCTTGGCCTTGACATTGTCAATGGTGTCGCTGCTCTCGACCTCGAGAGTAATTGTCTTGCCGGTTAGGGTTTTCACGAAGATCTGCATCTTCGGCTCTCTTGCTTTCGCAGCTCGTTCGGAGGAGAAGGAAGATAGGCGAACAAGAGTATCGGTTACCACGGGGCAAATTTATAGCTCGCTTTCTAGGGTTTATCAGGGAAACGAAGCTTTGGAGTTTGGGCTTTCTTGCAAGCAACGTGTTCCTTTTTAGTTTTTCTAAGCCCATTTAACTTTAATGAAGCCCAATGGGCCTTTTATGAATATTCATCTTACTAGGCCCTGAATTTAATTGAATGTATTTTCCCTTGGAGAACGAGTAAATGGGTGCCCAAAAATACATAATAACGTTGAAAAGTCAACATATGCAAATTGATCACCCATTTCGAATTCTTAAATTATCTGATTTTGAATTCATCATTAACGAGTAATTAGGTTTCCGACACCCAAAAAATACTCGAAAATCGCACATTGTTTTGTTTTCCGATCAATTGGAAAGAAGAAATAATACGAGACTGAAATACTCGAAAATCACACATTGTATATTTTTCGAACAATTGGACAGTGAAAAAACAGATACGAGTAAAACCTAAGTGAAATAGGAAAAAAAAAGACACGTAAATGACAATTTCGTAAATACCTTAAATAACAATTTGGTCGTTTTAGGTATCCGCAATTTACCTGTCCAAAACCTACGAAACTGAATTCAAAATTTCAAACCCCGACGATAGAAACATCCGGAATCAAAACCACATTTGCAAGTGCCTGAACGATTATTGCTTCATTCATCCACGACCAAAACCACATCATCATCTTCAAATATGCAAAATACCATAACCAAGTTGAAACCAAAGAAAGCGGCTTTGTTCTGATAATACTTATCCATTCCTTTGGGAAACTCTGAATTCCCAATTCACAAAGACCAAAACTACCACAGTGACTTGAAACAACTGCATGTGAAGATTTAGAAATGCTGAGCTTAAATTCAAAGTACCGAACGATAAAGGAGGTCGGCGAGATACATGGCGCCAGGACAATTACAGCCTCCTTCCCCTTCTACCACCCTTTCTACGGGTACTGTCTGTCGGAATTGGTGTCACATCCTCTGCATTATAATTCCAAACATTTATGTCAACCAAATCAGTTTCTGCATACCAATGCATTTGCTTTGTCCATGGCATATTGAATAAACATGATTGCCTTATAGATTCCGATTAACAGAAAAATAAAAGGTAGAAAGGCTATATTGCTTGGCCTAGAATCTACTGCAGAACAAAAAAGAAAAGAACTTTAAATCGAGTTTCTACACGTATTACAAACAAATTTGCAAGGGAAGAATGCAGTACCTATACGACCAATCTTCATGCCGGAACGAGCAAGAGCTCTGAGGGCTGACTGAGCACCAGGACCAGGAGTCTTGGTCTTGTTTCCACCAGTAGCCCGGAGCTTCACATGAAGGGCTGTGATGCCAAGTTCCTGATACAGAATTCAGAAAAAAAAAATTAGAGACCCAGAGAAAATTTACAAGCTCACTCAATAAAACATAGTATTGAAAGAGAGTTTGTACTACCTTGCATCTCTGAGCAACATCTTGGGCTGCAAGCATAGCAGCGTATGGAGAAGACTCATCACGATCAGCCTTGACCTTCATGCCACCTGCAAATAGACACTGAAGATTCATTACCCAAAAGAAAAAACACAAGAAACACCATTGGAGACATAATCAGGACTTCAAAGTAGATTTAAAAGATAAATCTGTACCCACAACGATAGTGGCTTATGATACAAAAGGACATCAAATCCATTTTCAATCCAAGAAACAAGTATGACTACAATAAAAAATTACATAAATTGGAGAAAAAGGGGAATGGAGTATACCAGTAATACGAACAAGAGTTTCCCTTCCAGAGAGATCAGTCACATGCTGCAAATTAAACGACATTGTGGTAAATACAACGAAAAAATACACGATAAAACTCGTAAAGAATATAACAAAAGCTTACAATGAATGTGTCGTTGAATGACGCAAAGATGTGAACAACGCCAAAGACTTGCTCTCCCTCACGGACAGCAGGTCCGAGAGTGACATTTTCCTCCTTGGGCTCTCTGGTCTTTCTCCTCGACTACATGAGAGAAACGAAAAAAACAGAACACAAATCTTCAACTACGATCTTTCAGCAATAATCGCTCCGAAAAAGGATACAAAGCAAACACAGAAACCGATGCGTCAAACCGAAATCCCCAACACTACGTTCTCGGGATCAGATACAAACAGCTCGAGAAAATCATGGATTGCTTCAAGGCGATTCTAGAGTATAACCGATGCCGTAAGAGGAGTTCAGAAAAAATCCAAGGAGACAAAAACAAATTCAGGAGCATCGGAATCTAAGACAAAACCAAAGCGAAATATATCTAGCAAGTTCTCGCGTCGCAGATTTCCGATGCGTACAAAAACAAACGCAGAAAGACCTTTGTTCTTGCACAGAGAATTCATGGAGAGAGAGGAAGGAGCTCACCATGGTTAACAAAAGTTTAGACAAGATAGGCTAGGGTTCTGGGATGTTCTTAGCGGTCGCGCTTCTCTTCTCAGTGAGATTGAGAGAATTTGAGGGAGGAAGAAACAGACCTTATAATTAGGGTTCAGCGGAAAGTCATTCTAAATTACCTAAATGCCCTCCATCAGCTGAAGGAAAAAATGAGAAAAAAAAAATTCAATGACAGCTGTGGGATTTGAACCCACGCCCTTTCGGACCAGAGCCTAAATCTGGCGCCTTAGACCACTCGGCCAAACTGTCTTGGTGTTTACTTAATTTTATCAATTTATGACAAACATACAACTGTAGGGTTTTCTTCTTTTCCCTTTAACAAAACAATAGGAAACAGAGTACAAAGTTCTAGTTTAAACCTTTACAACACGTCACGTATGAGTATACAATATCCAGATGCCATTGTAAAGGCTCATGCTTTCCAATGCCTTGTTAGTCAAATGGATCGAACCGTGGATCGTGTTCACTGGCTGATAGCATCCCAGTACAAAGGCATGTTGGGCACATCACCTGGTTCATAGATGAGGGCACAAGTTAGAATCAGAAAAGACTTCACTGGATGAAACATGGCATTCACATGTACGCAATCTTGTTTTTTATATCATGTTGAGTTTGTTTATGTACGGCCTGTCTCTGAAACTTATTTTACTACCTTTCCCGCACCGGAACAGTTCAGACATCTTCTGGTTGTGGGGACTTGAAGAGGTAGATTGGATGTGTTAGACAATGATATCGGATCAATGCTCAAACACACACCACTTGCTGAACATCGAGCACATGGCAAGTACCCTAATGATAAGAAGCAGAGCAGATCATGTGAAGTTTCACAGCTGTTGCAATGAATGAATACTCGGGTTGCCATAGTCATGCCACAAATAGCTTGAAAATCTCTATATTTGCATGATAATTTATGCATGAAAGGGAGAGATATATATATATACCGGTCCCATGGCAGTACTTGCATCTTTTCTTCTCTTGCTGTTTTACATTGTTGGCTTCAATTAACATCAAGGTAGAAATGACACCTACAGCCCCGCCCGAGAAAGATGCCACAATAGGGTCTACCTGACTGGATAACAAGACAAGACATTTTTCAAAGTACTCTGATTGGAAATATAAACAAGACGATAAGCAATCCGACTCTTAAGTTGAACCAATTGTTGTGTGTACTATAACTTAGCTATTGAAAATGAGTACCTCAATTGCATTGGTAGATGCAAGCTCTGTATAAAATCTTCATACGAGGTTCCTCCCAGTCCTAATTTTATTTCCAGCTGCAAGACAAAAGTGTTTCAAAACAGTTATTAAAGAATGGTGATTAAGCGAGAAAATAAGCGAATACTCATCAAGAATAAGAGTTTCTACAATGGTATGCATGGTTACATGGTTGAGCTCTGTTCTTTTTTTTTTTTTTAATTAATGAGTTCAGAAGAAACACTCGATAGATAAACCAGAAACTCTACTGCAGCCTCCCGATAGAATTTTCTTCCAACAGCAGAAGTTCACATTCCTTGAACAATCAACCTGTGTTTCCTCAAAATCGCTGTGAAACCAATCACCACTAGGGGAACAATTGATTGGACAATATTTCCTGATTTCTTAGATCTTTTAGATAAATACTAAAAGCAAGCCAGTATTACGAAAAACACTAGCTCTTACAATTTTGAAAAAAGACCAAAAAAATCATCTTGCACAAGAATGACAAAAGATACCGTAAATCGAACAAAAGAGAAACCATCTTGCCAAGAAGTGAAATTTTAGTAACCAGATGAAATTTTAGAAAGTTAAAACGACATATCCAAGTACCAGAAGATCATTTTTCGCAGGTTTTGAGGTTGCTTTCGCGAACTAAATAAATGGGTTTTTCTTGTCATGCCCAAAATTTTGATAGTTGCTACATGAAAGCAACAGGAACACAAGTGGAGTGTATGAGCATTCTTACTTTCGGTGCAATGAGGCCACCAAAGAAGATCGTCCCCAATATTAGTGACAAGCCTGTCATGTAGAGTTGCTTCAAAGTCTTTGGTGTCTAATCAACATAGAAGAGTAGAAAATGAGTAAACAGCTTAAAATTATAGTGTGTGAGAATATTTTAGCCATGCAATTCCCCAATGTGCAACTATAACTCCAAGAAAACCAAACCAGATCTTAGTGTTTTGTAATAAGGAAGGAAAAAACCTATACACTCACCACATAAGTGAGAAAAGGAATAGAAGATGGGATGTCGGCCATCTCAGCTGCCTCGTCCTCAGAGGCGCCATCGAAGAAATTGCTGCTCTTGATGCGTTGTTGTACGCGTAATCTCCTTACCTGGCAAAAGCATGAATTACATCAATTCCATTTTCAGCTAAATAATTCAGAGTAGAAACGAAAACATACCTCCTCCATGAGGAGAAAGATCTTGTTGCGTCTACTCCTTATGTGATCTTGGATGTCCTGAAGCTGCATTTGCATGAAATCCTGAATGGTCTCTGGCCCCTCGATGATGCAGAAGTTACTGAAGCAGCACAAAGACAAAATCATAAGCTAATGTTGTAATTACAATTTACAAGGTTTCCCGTTTTGGCAGTTAACTAGATGTTTTGCTTCTCTCGGTTTACCTCGTTTTCTCTCAAAGCAAACAACTTTATCTCACTAGCACATACGCACAATCGGATCAACAAGATGGGTTCCGCGGGAAAAAAAAAGGAAAACTGGAGAACTTTAGCAAAATTCGCAGATCAAAACTCGGATATAGTAGGAAGAATTTCACCATCACAGCAACCGTTCACGACCGATTCAGGCAAATTTCAATTTCCAACAAGAAGAAAGAAGAAGAACCGAGGAACTTGCCCTGAACCAGTGTCGCCGGAGGAAGGAGAACCCGGATTGCTGCTGCTGTTGTTGCCGGTGGCGGAACAGAGGGCGACAGTCCGAGTCCTTGTCGCAGACGGTGAAGGGCCATTGGAGAGGAAGCGAAAGCTAGGGTTGTTGAAATTAGGGGAGGAAAACACGACTAGGGTTTTGGAAATCGATGGAGGAAGAAGAAGATGACGATGGGAGGGCGAAGAAGGGAAACACGTTGTCATGTTCGCACGACGCTTTCACTGTTCACTTTTCCGGATAGGTAACGAAGACATCCAAATAATTTTTGTAAAAGTAAATGTTTTTTTAGAAAAATAAATTAACGGTCAGTTTGGCTGTTTGTCTTCAGTCTAAAACAACGTGGTTAGGGAGTTACATAATACTGGAATGATAAGCAGTGTAAAACCATAATATATAATTTTATATGAAGTAAAAATCCCACATATGGTTATTTTTAAAATAAAACAAACCCATTTTTACAAGAAGACTCTTTTTATTGGATGTTCTTATTACCAAAAGAAGACGCCATCTTCTGCACAAGACGAGGACTGACTGATCTCTCAGATTCTTTCAAGTGTAAATAGACAAAGTTAAAGAGTAACAACCAAGCAAGGAGGCAAACTGAGATTCTACACGTTTTCTTCTTCTTATTTCTTGCAAAAAGTAAGTTAGGGCTCTTTGCTTCTTGCAACAGCAGGAGAAGAAGAAGAGCAAGACTCGAGTTTCGGGAGAAGGCCTCTCCAGGCATCGGCCACGCTGTTAGCCAGACGTGCTTGCCCTTTCGCAAACTCATGGAACGCCACTCCCATCTCTTCCGTCTTCTCTTCCTGGAACCTCACCATCTCTTCATTCATCCTCTTCACTATCGTCTCGAACCTTCTAGTTGCTTCCTCGCTTTCCGCTTTCAACTGCATTTCGTCACACCATCATGGAAATGCCAAGGGAATTACCCCACAAAAAAAAAGATTAAAAGAAAAACTTGTAAAAATGGGTTATGGAAGTAGACTTGACTTGCCCCTCTGTATTCAACCTCGGCTTCTCCCACTTTATCAGACCGTGTCAGCATGAGTTTGTCGCTGCAGAACAGATGGGACATCAAGTTAAGAACACGGTAAAGATAGTCCTGGACGAAAATCCATCGAAAAAATGATAACAGAGAAACCAAACCATACAGATTTATTTCCTTTAACTTTGTTGTTTCCGCCAGTTCACAGTGTTGCCGGAAAACAATGGCTCTCTCTGCTATTGTGGCCTGGTTTTCAATAAATCAAAACATGACCGTCAAGTTTTGAAATTTACTAAACAATAATATCCCACTGGATTGCCAAGAATAACCAGCAGCACAATCCTAACACGGACCGTGAAACCACCGAGATATACATATATATATATGTTATATTTGAGGAGCTAGGGCCCACCTTAATGGATTGTACAGAACGAACGTAGTCCTTCAAGGGTTCCTCAAAATTCATTAGGACTTGATGAGCCTACAAAGATGCAGTGAGAGGGGTTAACGAGATTATTGTGTTAGCAACTGATAACTGGACGGACGCAGATGTATGTGCCAATGATCCGTATGCAGCATTAAATCTAGTAGTGTATTTATAATAAATTACCTCTTTCTGGAGCTTAATAGATAGCAATTCAGATTTAGTCCCCAGATCAGAAAATGCTTTTCCTGTAGGTTCTCCTTCACAAGCCCCGAGAAGTTTCACCGCCTTGCCAAAATCCGACAGTGACTGACCCAACTCTGCCATTAGATAGGTAAAACAATAAATTATATGATCTGTTCTTGTAATAAAAGGAAACATATCATGATTGCTTGAGATACAATAATAACTGATTAAGACATGGCATTATTACCTCTATGTCTCTTAACGAGACGAAATGCATGCTTCTGTGCCTCAGCCAAGTGGTTCTCGAGCTCAAAAATGTAATGTTTAAGTTTCTCATATTCAGGAGTGGATTCTTCGACCGGCTTCTCCTTTCCTAAGACAACATCACTCACTTTGGTTTGCACATCCTGTCAATTGTGTAGATATGGCCATGGTCCATTTCCCATAATTGTATCCAGATGAAAACACGGAATAACAAAGAGAAATATGGTACAGAAAGTTTAAAAACTATATATATCTTGACAGGTGAAAATTCCAATTAAAACATTCTAAAAGCAATCCGGCATATGTCAGCTATTGCATCTTGTATTTTACTGATATTGAAGATAAAGTTTGGAGATCAGGAAAAATTATGTTTACCTTGAAAATTTGCATTAGATCAGAAGGCTTCTTCTTGAAGATACCAGTTTCCTGAGATCTGAATCTTTCCATCGTCTGAGGACATAGAAAACTGTCAAAGCCAAGTATCTTTGGAAATGGCATAGTCCTTAGTGGGAGGGAAATATAAAATTTATGATTAAAAAATAGGTGACAATGATGAGAAGAAAACCAGAAATCCACAATCTCGCTAGCAGCGTAGAACCCAGATACCTTACCTCTTCATCTGCCTGCAAAAAGGTCCTAAGATCCTCACTCTGCTGAAGCTCAGGATGTGAAGCTATACGGTTGATGAATACATCCAGCGCTTGCCGCCTCATTTCTATAAATTCGGCACTGAAACGGAATTTCTCTGCCAAAAAGAGTATTAAATTTTTACCCCAAAAAAATTAATATTAGATTTCATCCCAACTTATTGACAAACTAAAAACGTAGTGCCTATCCAGCAAATATGATTGGCAAAAACTTTATGCAGAGTAGAAAGCATAACCTCGACAGCATACAATCAACAGGCATAACTATACTAACAATGATGGGCATGTCGTGTACAGATACCTCCTTCATCAGATAGCTTAATCAGAGAATTCAGAGAGTTTCATCAGAGCATGCAAACTATACCAAGGATGATGAGACAGTAGTTCAAAATACAGGGGAACCCATTAAAGGAGGACCAGCCAATTAGCGTGTTACCTACAGCACTCTTCTCGGGGAGCGGAGGAATGAAAATGCCCTTGTATTTCTCAAAGAGACGATCCCGCAACCATACGAAATCACTGTAACGCCGGATAACGATTTTCTCCGGCCCTTGATACTCCGGAAAATTGGTCTGTTGGAAAATAGATCACTCCTCAAACACCAATTCACACTACTGAGCTACCGATAAGGACAAATTCATGCCCTAACCTTAATCTCACCCAAAAATTCCAGATGTTTATCACACAACGACAACAAAACCCACAAACAACCGTAGATCTACAAGGTTCGAAGAAAGTTCCAAAACCCGACATCGAATCTTACACCGAAAACCCTACTCCGGTAGTTCCAAAATAATTAGCCTCGTATCAGCATCGAAGACGACGACAAGGAGCGAGAAAGAAGGACTCTAACCTTGGTGATGACTCTGTAAGAGATGTAAGCTTGTACGCCATTGCCCAATTTCACAGGATCTGTGACGGAAACTGATAAATACGGTTGCGATGACGGAGATCTAGGGCTCAGCGTCGCCCCCACCGAGTTCCTCTGCTGTTCCATGATTCTCACGAAACGAATCGCGAGATCGAAGACCGGTTGGTCAAAGTTATCCCAGTGGCAAACTAGTAATTGTTGTTAAATCCAGGTGTTATTAACTTATTATTACTGGGTGGGATAAATACTTCGGCAGAAGTTTTTTCTATTTATATAGATAAATACAATAGATATATTAGATTAGAAAAATATTTCTAAAAATATATATAAAAGGTTATACAATACAAATAGAAGTATGTTTTAAATGTTTTTTTCTCTTGCAAAACAAGGAAAAAAAGTATTACCAATGATAACAAAAAATAATCTAGATATATGGTTAGAAAAAGGTATAAAAATATAATGATTTATGTTTTAAATGTTTTTCTCTTTCAAACTATTTTACAAAATCTACATATTAGGTTAGAAAATATATAAAAAAAAAATACATAGGGTTATAAATATAAGTATTGTTTTTCCAATTTCATATGTAGAGTTTTGGTAATATTTTGATTTCTTGGAGAACTAGGAGGATTCCTTTCCATAAATAAGCACAAGAAGAAGATATCTTATTAAATAAATTTTCATCTGAGAAAATGAATCATGAATTAATTATAGATTCACTCACAATATACAATGTATCGAATCAAACTTGACCCAAATTCAAACCTCAATCTCGTATAAATGTTAAAGAATAAGAAGAACAATATTGTTAAAAATAACCCAAAAAAAAAAAGAAAAGAAAAATGGTGTTCTTCAAATGCATGGTCCTGCTTCTCGTGGCGGCGAACTGCGTTAGAGCCGGTGAGATAATCATCAACAATTATCTGAGGGAGGACATGAGCCTGACGGTCCATTGCGTGCAATCCGGCGTGGACCATGGCTCGCGGGTCGTGGCTAACATGGAAGCGTATAAAGTCACGGGCGGTAACCTGTCGGGTACCCGCTGCGGCCTGTCGTGGAAACGGAACGAGGAGCATCGGCTCGAGTTCGACGCCGGGAGCGGCGGAGAGTGGTTCGGCAAGAACGAAGGTCTCTTCAAACTCGTCGATGGAGCTCAACAGTTCCAGGCTCCTTGGGCTTGAATTTTTATACCCATTTTCACTATATATACAATTTTCACTATATATACAATAATCTAAATACATGGAATATATTTTAAATCAATGTTAGTTTGACGTGTATTCATCATAAACATTCGCATTAATATAGAAATGAGAGAGTCATTATTTACAATATTTAAAATTATCAAGAGATTTAATCTAAAATTGAAAAAAAAAATCATACGGTCTATCCCGAATAAAATAAAATTAAGATTACGGCCGTATTGTTTGTATATCTTTATCAGATATCTCCCAATATTATCACTTTCTTTTGTATTTGACCCCAAACTTTCTAAAGTACAGAATGGCCCCCGATTTCTTAAGAAATCATTAGTACTTTGAATCTGCTACAGACACCATTTCTCTCTTTACAGAACCTTAGTTTCACTTAGTTCCGAATGTGATGGTCTTAAAACGGCAAAAGAATTCATCATTGCTACTCTGAATTCATAGAAACATGTTTCTCGGACCAGAAAAAAAAAATAAAAAAAGAGCCAAAGGTTACATTTTCTATACAGAAGTTGAGTTTTTGATGTTTACTGTCGTCCATAGAGAAGTTGTCTAGAAGCTTAGACAGACTTCACAAGAGAATCAGCAGAACCAGACAAGAGAGAGTTGGCTGGTGCAACCAAAGCAACAGCTCCCCTCTCGGACCTCGAATACTTCTTCCACACGGCACGTAGTTTGCTTTCCTCGGCCTTCGAGTGGATGAAAGTTAGAAGCTTTGAGCAATCCCTGGACACCCAAAGAAGATTATTGATACATGAATATATATATACAAACAAAGAGAGACACAAGTAAGATGATGATGATGATGATGATGATGATGATTCAAGAGCAGAACTGAATCATCGTTACATGAGCTGAGATTCTGAGTAGCCGGTGTGGAACTTTAGGGTTTCGGTCCAAGCAGGACTCCGGTTCAGGGAACACCTCGCTGCATAGACCGCTGAAGCTGCTAGCACGGAGGGGCAGAACATCAGCGTGTCGTAATTCATCATACCCAACTCTGCTAGGAAGTACACCATATTCTCCATCTAAGCACAAAAAAGTTCCCAAGTTAGAATTGTGCTTATGAACAAATATCCAAAAAACCCTGTTGAAAATCTATCTCACCTCTGGATCAGAAATGGCAGCTTTGATGAACCGAGCGAGGAACACGTATTGTGTCGGAACAGTCAAGTACCATCCGAGAGTTCCAAGTATGGTTTTCTCCATCACTAGAATCTGTTCACTGCTGTATGCATTGTCTGTGACGTAAACTAAATCGTTAACCTGCTCATGAAAGATACAATGGCCAATCGTGATTACCTTATGCAGTGCAAGACCATGAAACAACCTAGCGATATACATATATATATATATATATTATGAATGTATACCTGAGGAGGCCAGATTTCTTCGTACTTGGAAGCCATGAGCAAGGCGGCGATGCCCACGAGCTGCAATTCTCTTCTGGGGACGGTTTTTGCGGACAAGAAACGATCAGTTATGTTGATCGTTAGGTACAATGTTTCAGGGGAAAGCTCAAACTTGAAATGAACTTCTACAAGCCAGTCGACCAGAATCGATCTCATCTTCTCGTTGATCTCTGCCTGCGTGTGGATGTACATTTGAGGCCGGCTTTCATTCTGCACCACGCAGGGGAAGTAACACATTCTTAGTTCTGGTGTTGCTTATAACACAAAGATTACAACTTTGGAACACTGTAATATATATATACACCTCAACTTCCTTGTAGAATTTGTACATGTCCTCGACGTATTCAACAGCAGCAAGATCGTTGTCTTTATCGGAAGCATCGATATCAAGAACCTGCTCCTTGGGTCTGTTGCTTATCCCACATGCTGCCTGTACACGAAGAATAAAACACGGTCAGAATAAGCAAAAACCCAGAAAGGATACACAAAAATACTCGGCACAAATTGAATTAGTGTAAGGGAACACAAGGAAATGTACCTTGCTTCTGGCACTGAGAACCGAGGAGTACGTCACTTTCTTCTGAGCACTTTTCTTCTCCAAAGGGAGGGCCTTCTCTTTGTCATCTTCTACCTTTTCATTTGTGTCAGGACTTATCTCGATCACTTCAGTTGCTTTTGTCTGCTTAGCAACAACTGGTGCTTTCTTCTGAACCACCCTTTGAGCAGCGGGTCTCTTGTTAACAGCCTGGCCTCCATCTAGAATGGAAGCCTTGTCTACATTCATTTGCTGTATCACATAAGCACTCGCTAAGTACAGAAACATATCTATCAGGTCAACCAATCAACCATTCGCAGGAACATGATCAAGTAAGAATGGTTCTGATTATCAGAGAATTGGTAAGAACAAATGAACCTTTTTCCCTGCAGCTTGCTGTGCATTTGCCAGTAGCTGAGCACAGAAGCTACGTGTCAGGGGACGGTTGGTCGGAGCCTGTTGGGGTTTACCAGCTTCAACTCCTGGAAGAGAATTCAGATTACCAATGTCGCCAAGAGCTCGACGGTTCCTTCCCACAGCCGCGTTTTTCTTCTGCATCTTCTCTCCACCAACCACCGGATCGCCTGATACATAACCAGCAGACCCATCAAGATGAGGCATTTTCAAATCAACTACCGTGTTTCTCTTGTTCCACCAGTTTTCACATCACTTGGAAGGCTAATTTCGATGGAAATCGTTGTTATTACAAATTACTCCATCATCGGAACACTGATATAATTTGGGCCCGTGGGACACTTATCAAACACAGAGAAGAAGAATCTGTGACAAACTCAGAACGCCCAATACAGATTTGGATTCGACTAAGGTAAAGAGAGATTACGATCAGATCCAATCCAGGAGAAACCCAGATGTAAAATCGTCGAACACAACACAGGCCTTCCGGTAAAATTTTCAGATTCAAAAAAGCACGCGATCAAACATCTCCCACAAAACACCGTAAATTTTTCCAGAGAACTAAAGCTGCGAAAAAATTTCCCAAAATTACGGAAACTCATATTCGAAATCACCAAAAAGAATAACACCCATCCATAATCCTCGACAGCACATTCACAGAACCACAAGGGATTAGTCACAGCAACAAGTTTTCACAGGATCATACGACAAATCACCGCAACAAACCAAATTTGATCGGTGAAAAACAATCCAACAAGCCATCGAAGGATTGATTACCTCTGATCGGTTGCGGGACAACTGGCCTCGTCGCCATCTTCTTTCTACTTTCTTCTTGCTCGTCCTTTTTGGTCTCGGTACTCCTCTTAGAGAGAGAGGCTCAGAGAAAGAGAACAAGAACGCGAGAGAAAGAGAGAGAAAGGGCTCTTTATTGAGAGGGGGAGGAGGCGACTCTTCAATTCCAACGGTCAAATTTTTTAGGGCTCTGATTTGTAGCCGTTGGATGATGAAATTCAAAATCCAACGGTGAACGAGATGTATCCGTTAGGGGTTTCCCTTAGGCAAGAGGGGCGCCTACGAGGAAGTGACCGTTGGACTGTTGAAAAGGAAAGGACATAAAAGGTAAAAATATTGAGCAATTTTTCCACTTATTTGTTTTTTTACAAGGTGATTTATTTAATATAAAACTGTAAAGCAAAAGCCCAAAATTACATAAAAAACCATATTTATAAAAAAATTATATACCTCAATTTTTCTAAATTATATAATATATTATAATAGATTTTATGATTTAAAAAAATCTCAAATAATTTTATTCAAGACAAAATGTATATTATTTTATAGTCTCGAAAAAATCGGAAACAAACATTAGTTTTGTAAGATTAAAACATTATTCCTACTGTCAAGTTTCATTCTTTTGTCTATATTGCAACATATCTCCTTTTTTTTATGGTCTTTTCAATACTCTTTCTCCCGATTCCAACTTTTTTTTCAAAAAAAAATAGAGAGTTAGAACACCTGAAATTGGGAGAAACCATTCACTAAATTGTGCATTTTATTATTTGACCCCTGATCTTTATGATAATTACATATAAAAAAAGAGAGGCTACATAACATGCAATGACACAAACACATGCTTTCATTCCTGTTTTCAGACCAATCTCTCGTTTTCTCTTGAACTTTCATTTCTCTATTTCCCACGTGTTAGACATAGATTTTGTTAAGATTACAGTTTGAGTTAGAAATTCAAGGTTTTATGATTTCTATTTGATTCTCTAAGGTTTAGAATCACAGTTAGGTTTAGGGTTAATATGATCAATTCGTAGAAAATGTACATCTGTTATGACCCTTCACCAAATCCTTAGCCCTGACTGTATTCCAATACCAATTATTTCATCTAGTAGTGTGATAAACACAATAATCAAATGAATGAAATCCATATCATTTTATAAAATATCGTTTTTATATCACGTCAATCCTGTATTCAAACAAATGAACCATAGATCATATCCGGAGTCGGACAACGACAACAACAACAGTTATTATACCCAAACTTAGATAATTCAACCGATAAAACAGACACAAAACATCTGTTCCATCCTAAAATTAGTATGGTCCTCGGTTATAAAAAAAACTAATGTGTGACTGGCATATAGATAAAAGAGCTCTGAGAAGGGCATTTCAATGGCAAGTCAGGATATCAATAAGCGAATATTAGAGTAGAGCTCATGGAAGTTTCAATCACCATTCATGAGTAAACTCATCACTCTTGCCACTAACACCATCTTTTAACTCTAAAAAAACACTGTAAATCATTGAAACCGACGACCAGGACATAACAAATGCAAATTCAAGGACAAATCTTTTGGCTCAAATCTGGAAAATCTTTCATCAAATGGGGAATTGGCAATGTCAGAATATCAATAAGCCTCGAGATTTTTAGCTCATAATGGAGGATTAACTCCATTAGCCCATCTAATTGTATCATCATTCAAATTCAATCCCCCGTTTTCAATGGTTACAACACTGAAACATTCCTTCCAAAAAAAAACAGAGGAATTTATGATCTTACGATAAAGTTTTTTTTTGGTAATGATCTTACTATAATATAAGGTTAACGGGCGATATCAGAATATCAATAAGCCTCGAAAAGTTTAACCTCATATTAGGAATTGGAGTTCCCATTCGTACATCTAATTGAATCATCATTATCGCCGTTTCAACTTGACAAGAAAATAAAAATCAAATCAACAGAATTTATCACAAAAATGGGAAATCTGTGAAGAAAATCAACATGGACTCCAAGATCCATATTCATATTTGTATCCTACCCGATGAATAACACGAGACACGAGATTCGACTTAGGATCTGAAAGTCCCAATTAGTCAACACCCTAACCAGATAAAGATTAAACCAAATGGCTAACCTATCCGAAGATCTCGATGAAAAGGGAACTCGATTTCAGACCCTGAAGTCGGAAAGTGCTTCGGCAGGTAAAATCGGGAGGGAAAACGATGGGTTCCTCAATAGGAAAACCCTAGAGAGGAAAAAACCCTAGAAAAACTTTGATATGGCGCAGCTATGACTCGAAACGCTTCCATTGATCATGCCGGGAAGGCGATCTTAAGGGCCGCGCGAAATAGCATACCGATCCGTAAGAAAAAACAAAGGAATGAAAACAAAACTCTGATGCAGAATCATAAAACCTAAATCTAAGAATCAGGAAAAACCCTAAATATAAGGAGGATGAAAGACGGCGTCGGAACGCGCTTATATATATGCTCCGTGCGTATACATCTGTAAGTGAATTACTGTTTTACCCTTGTACGAACCCACTTGGAGTCCATGGGCTTTTTTGAAATTATGGTCCACCGTCTACAACAACAACATGGTTTTCATTTGGATCGACCGCATGAATCCTTCTTCTCTACTCATTTCGATTCCGAGTTAACTCTTTCGGAATCTGCAACATTTCCAAATCGTTTCTAATGATCCGTTCCCAGATAAGTCTAGGTCTTCCTCGTGCTTTCATTTTCATCCCTATATCTATACTCTCCACTTTTCTAACCGGTGCATCAATCGGATGGTCCAGAACAGTCTAAATACGAAAAATTGCAGTTATATGATATATAATATGTATCAAATTGCGTAGTTTGTACAATTCTTGGGGTTTTTTAAAATCAAATGTCAATGTCCTTATGGTAAACGTTCATCATGGTTTTAGTTTCTTTCATTTGGTGATTTTAAAATCAGTTCAACAGTGTACATTTTCTGAATATTATCTCTTTTCCAATATATATATATATATATATATATATATATATATATATGACCCAAATTTCCTAATAGATTTTCAAAGTCAAGTGGTAAAAGTATTGAACTGCTACTCGACCTCAAACGACAACTTAACATATCTGATACCGGTTACCTTTTCGCCTACGACGACTGAAAAAGCAAAAAAAAAAAAGATCAAACACAAGCAGTTGATGTGAAAGTTAAGATCTTTACAGACACTTTGACTGATACAAAGCTTTACAGAAGTGGGTGATTCATCATCTCAATACTTTTGAAACTCTCTCTCCGTTGTGAAATTGAGATTTGCCATTGAACCTTACTTACAGTTACAGTTACAGTCACCAGTCATCATCGATGCTAGCCCGGTGAAAACACAGGACGGTGCAGACGAATATAAAGAACGACGTGAATTCTATGAGCATTGCACCAGTCTCGATCATTTGTGCGTGCCTTAAGATGATCGGAATAGCTATGCTTCCAACCGTCGAAGCTCCTGTCAAGAACTTGGCTGCATCTATCCAACTGTGTACCTCAAAAGGAATAAAAAAATGCATCAGTGAAAGCATATTTCGGGAGTAACAAGCAATAATGAAGGCTAAAGGTACTGACCCTCCACCGTCTCGGCTAATCAGGAATTGGGTGGAACCTCCTCCAAAGAACAAACAAGGCATAGGCACGACCACATACATAAGTGCTGATAGCATCGGCCACCAATTACCGTATATTGCACAAGCCTGCCAATAGAAACGAACCTATTATTAAACTCGAACTAATAGCACCATGGTTTTTCGCTCTCTCACAAACGACATATGGAGAAACTTTGGTCTGATTTCCTAAACTTGTCAGAAAAGCACATCAGATCCTTGCTTCTTGTGGTTAACTTGTACCAAAAAGGCCGAACAAGAACCAGTGTTATCAATTGCCTATGGCTACACACGGGAAAGAGAAGCTAAAACTATAAAACACACGAAAGGTTCAGTTTTTCCATATTTTCCTGCAGAAAGAGTCTTCACCACTCGTAGAAAGAACTAAGATAATCACAGAACTTGTTACCAGCAGCCGGGAAGAAAAAGGACGTTGAGGTACAACAAGAAATCACAAAGATAAACCAATTTTATAGATGGTTAGTATATAATCGAAGAAAGCAGTGAGTTATAGACGTTTGGACTTTGTTCGGCCAAGCACATTGGAGCAACATGATAGTTTCATCAAAGCTAGATGACTTGACTGAGATTTCAAACGTACCAGGATCTGTAAGAGGATACTCGATGAAAACATGAAAGCAAGCCCAGCAAGCCTGTGTACAGATTCATAAACTGTAAGATCACTATAGTTCTTGGATTCAACAACAGATCCATAAAATCAGATTAAGTAGTTTCTGTCTTCAACTTACACTGCACAGAGGAACAGCAAATTGAGCATCCCAGAACAAATATGCACCAGAGAAAATATAGCAAACAATCAGTGAGATCACCATTAAAACCCAGAAAAATCAAACGATTCCCTTAACAAGTACAAATGATCTTTAGCTCGACGTCCAAAGGGTCGAGTTCGAGCTAACAGAGAACCATGAACCCGAATCAGAACCGAAAACTGAAATTTCCTGAAGATAATATCTGTTCAGCAATCGAATTGAAGAAAATTTTACTAAATATCACAGGCGTATTCTACGATACACAGAGGAGCAGGACGAAACCCTAGATTACAAAATTGAAAAGCCTGCAAGTCCTTAAAACCCCAAATCTAGGGCAAAATCTAGACCAAACCCACGAATTTCTCCATCAAGAGCATCACACTCTGCAGAGTTGAATCTCCGGACGAGATGAACGAGCGGCAAGAGACAAAGTAGAATGGAAAATCCCAACATCCAAGTGATGTAACAATGAAATAGTCAACAAAAAGGAGATACCTTCGATGGTCATCGCCATGCCTGCAACGAACAGCTTCGGTCACCCGTGATCGACTTTCGTCTCCGTTCGCCGGCTAAGGAGAGAGAGACTTTTAAAGGCAGATCGTTCTGGTATGGTATCTAGAGAACACATCTAATTTGCAGAGAGAGAGAGAAATAGATTAATTATTGTTAATTTATAATTAGTGAAATATGGTTGCATTTAGGGTGTAAAATGGGCGGACCGCGCCGGATTCGGACCGGTTCAATTTGGGTCTAGATTTTTTCGGGTCAGGTCGGCCCGACCATTTATTTTTCAGGTCTATCATCGATGGACCGGAATCCGTTCTACAGGTCTTCGGGCGGCTTCGAGTTTTTTTATTAAATAAAAATATTTTTTTATAATAAAAATAATAATAATAATATAAACATTCAACGAAATAAAAATAAAATTGAAAAAATTATTCAATTGTTCAATTATCTAATACTATATCCGATAAGAATATATTAAAACAAAGATACGTTTTTTTATCCACATCGATTACAATTAAAAACTTTTAAATTAAGGATATGAATGTTATTGGTTTTATTTTGGGTTTTTACCTTTAGTTTTTTTGTTTTTAATTTTTAGTTTTTGGCTTTTGGATTCTGAAAGTTTATAAATTTTAAAAAAAGGTAGCTTTTAGTTTTTAGTTGATTTTTTTTTTCATAAAGTAGATTTCCGAGTTTTTAGAAAAACCAAATTTTAAAAAACTTGATTGTCGGTTTTTCACTTTTTGAAATCCAAAAACTCCGAAAACCACTCCCCATTCTACACCTAAAAAATAACCATATAAACTTTAAAATATACAAATTTATCTAATATTTTTAATATCGGTATAAAAAATATAAAAAAATATTGATATAAATTTAAAATTAAATTCATAAAACATTATACATATAAATTATATCAAAATAGTCGGTAATATATATATATATATATATTATTTTAGAAATAAACTAATATATAATTTTAGTATATATATTAATTAAACCCATCAAATATATAACATAAATAAAAGATTTTTTATGTTATATGAGAATAAAAATCTAATTATTCGATATGTTTCAGACTAAATGGGTGGGGCGGACGGGTATCGGTCGGACTCGATTCGGGCCTCAATTTTTCGGGTCGGACCGGCCTGTCCATTTATTTATCGGGTTTATTTTATTAGGTCCATGTCCTTAATTTTTTCGAGCGAGTTTGGGCTGGATTTCGGGATTCGAATTAAATTGACATCCCTAGTACCATTAGATATGTTATATTGTTTTGTTATGAGATATGCTAATTTTTATGCCAATTATCCATATGTTTAACTATTATGCCAAATATCGATATATTTCCTATTATTTGAATTTTAAAAATCTAAAAATTTAAAACCAAAGTTTATTTGTTTCTTGTTTTCATTTCGATATATATTAGAGTAACTTTATTGTATTGAGTATTTATCAAAAATTTTAGAGACCCTTATTTTATAATTTCCAAATCTTCAGATGGATAAAATAAAAGTAAAAAGTCAATTTAATAATCAATTATTAATTATTAACTAATTATCGTTTTCTATTAAGTCTGATGTACCAAAGTTTTTTTAAATATAAAAAATCCTTTTAATAAAAATTATAAACTTATTCTCAACACATTATCTCACCATAAAATAAATTTTAGATATATAAAGGATAACTAACCTTTAGAATATCTATATATACTAAATCTCTAGATATAATTAATCAATATGCATTTCTTCCTTAATCTTTATTACATAATAATAGATCAATGATTTTATGATCTACTACATTTTTTTTTGGCAGTAAAGATTCAAGATAAGCTTCAAGGAATTTTGCATATATGTCTCCAAAGTAATGATTTCATATCAAAATAATCAAATGCCTTGGGTAGATAGCGTTGTCAAAGGTAATTCCCTGTGGGATTTAGCCATTACCGCTTTCATGCCAAAAAGGGATTTTCAACAAAAGTGTAATGAGTTTATATATATATATCCATTGGATGAAAATAATTTAAACTACAACTCTTGAAGTTTCAAACTTTGATGAGGAAAAATAAAATAAAAACCTTGAAAATTACCGCTCATATTTATCAACTATATATAAATCAGTTCTTATCCAATGGACGACGTCAAGAGATTTTTTCTTTTTCAAGCTTGGTGGGTGTACTCTTATCCTTGTTTTTTTAAAGTTGCGTACAACACGGGAAAAATCATATGGTTTAAAAGATGTGGTTTAATATTTATACGGATGCGATATATATATATAATCAGAACAAAAAAAATAAATAAATCCTTGCTTAATTTTTTTCAATTTTAATGTCAGTATATGAGAGTGATGTTCTCCTTGTTGTAAATTTGGTAGTGCGGGTTACAATATGATGTGTACGAAGATCTATATGCGCATGCATAGTAATGAACAAATAAATGGTCGTGAGATATACATGAATATGGATGAACATTGAAAATAATGGATACTTGACTTTGACTCAGTTTCCGAGTGCGTGTGGTGGCTCAGCCCCCAACTGTATGAATATGTATAATATATATATATATATATATATATATATATAGATATATATTAAAGTCTTTGCCCATCGTATATTATATAAAACCAACATTAAGATCAATCTATACTTTTAATTGGCAAAGAACAAAGCATGCACAACGGTGTTAATTATGGCGAATTAGACCATTCGTGCAAGTGGTATTATATATGCAAAAAAAAAAAAAGATTATAATGTAGTTTACATAACAAGTTTTATATCATGATCATTCATCATATAATATCATCATCAATCGCATATATATGTATACATAGTAGCTATCAAGCAATCCAAATTATTACACCGAATTAGAATGAACTTGATCACAGTACCCCCCCAAAAAAAAAAACCCTTCTAATAAAGCATATGCAAATCTTAGGAATGTCGGTCCACAAAATAATATGTGACATATACCCACAGAGAGGCCGATCCATCTCCTTAATCAAAAGAAGCGTCTACGTCTAATCAACTCTAAATAATAATAATAATAATAATAAATAAATAAATAATACAGCGTTTAGTTTGCGAGAGGAACGTGTGAACATATGGGGAGCCGGCTGCTTCGTGGATGACTCAGCCAATATACAATGCCTCTCCTGTTTCACCCTATAAATACGCCCTCGAGTTTCCTCTTCATTCTCATCCCTCAAAACTAAATCCATCCTATTAATAAAGAAAAAATATATTATTCTTTGCTTCTGTTTTATAATTATTACAAGACAAGATGAAGAGTTTGTGTTTCGCTGCTCTTGTTCTCCTTCTCTTGCCCGCCCTTTCCTACTGCCAGTCCGGCAACACTCAGGCCACCATTGACGGTTCTACATCAAGTACGTGTGTGTGTGTGTGTATATATATGTCGTAGATGCAAGTTTTATGTTTTCGAATCAGGACATAGTTATGTTATATATATATATCACAACAATAGCTATATGTTTTCTGGAAAATAATAAACTTTATTTAAAAAAAAATTCGCAGTTCAGAAAGCATGCAAATATGGTCGATATGGACTCGATGCAAATGGTGGCAGAGTAACTGGTGTTAATGGTGCTCTCTGGCGTAACGGAGCTGGCTGTGGTGATTGCTATCAGGTTTGTTTTAACTCGCATACTACCACGAAGAACGTTGTCGTCATGTACAATGCTAATAAACCATGCACATGCATGGACGTCACACGTACGTAGGTGATATGCACGAACACGCAGCTGTGTAACAGCCAAGGCGTGACGGTGCTGGTAACGAACCAAGGCGGCAACGATTTCAACATGGCGCCAGCGGCGTTCCGTGCGATGGCTCGGCCAGGGTTGGAGGACCGGCTCGTGTCGGCTGGAGTCGTAGGCGTCTCGTACCAGAGGGTGGCATGCCGATTCCCGGGCAGAAACGTCTTCGTCTGGCTCACCGACGACACTCGCCCTTCCCAGTACTTGTCCCTCACCTTGTTGAACGTTGGTGGTGTCAACGACATTTCCCGCATTCAAGTCATGGTAAAAATTATAGTTTTAACTCTCGGTTTTTGAAATTCGAACCGTTAGAGAATATGGGTTATCCGAATTTTTCCGGTTTGGATCCTGGTTACGAAAATGAAACATGACTTGTTTGGGGTTAAAACAGGGTGCTGAGGGGAGATGGGTAACGCTGACGCAAGTGGTCGGTGAGGTGTATGCCACGTCGGAAATACCGAGTGGATCTCTCTCGGTGAGGGTTATGTTCAGCGGAAGTTCCACGTGGCGTCAAGCCAACAACGTTATCCCCAGGGGGTGGGGCCCAAACCAGAGCTACGACACCAACTTCCAAGTCAGCTAAAGTACGACGTCGTAACTTCCTCCGGGCTGGCTAGAAGAAGATAGACGATGTGGACCCTTTCTTTTGTCTGTGTTAAAATATATATACTTGTACCCCAAATCACTTGGGTGGCTTTGGAGTTCTTAATAACCCTTGGCTGTATTTTAAATTCGATGAAGTTTGTGTGAATAAAGTTCTAGCCGCCGGCCTTATTTCTGCCTTTTTGCCTTTTCTCTATGCAAAATATCCAAAACTAGCATTTTTTTCGACAACGGAGGACCCTAACTCCATCCTTCGGACGCGGTGGCTGGTCGGCTGCCGATTCTGAATCGGGTTCTTCTTCTCACTAGTGTTTGTGATTGCGTTTGCGTTTCTCCGTGCCATGGCACGTTTCTCAGCTTCTTCAAGCTTTTTACATGTAAGTTACTGAGTGGCAGCCATCATCTGCTTCATGGGTTCCTTCTCTCCTTGGAGCTGAATCTCCATTATTGATTCTGGCTGCATGTCTACTGGTTTGAAGTAATCGTGAGTCCTAGCCTCCTGTCAAGGATGAACATACTAAAGAGGTTGGCCTTGGCCATGGCGAGGAGGGTAATGCCAAAGCCCTTTACGCCTGGGAGTCTATTTATGTCAGCTTTCTTCTGTTGTGCCCGAGGAGCAAAGGTGATACTCATTCTCATCAATCAAACCATGGTTATGCTAACAAATTGTTTATCTTAACGTTATTTAATCAAATTCAATATATATATATATATTAACTAGGTCGGATACATATATATATTCTTTTTTTTACACGGTACTATGCGAATGTTTGTCTAACAGTATAAATCATACATCGAAGTTATAATTTGTCTGACGTTATTAATCATACAACTAAATTTGATGTATAGAATCTAATTTCTCAAAGCTTATAGATTTTTTTTTGGGGCAACAAGAGTTTCATGTCCCAACAGGCCGCGTGTGGTGGCCGACAGTATCCGAGATTCTGGACACCACTAGTCAAATTGGTCGCAAACATTGTACTTATATTTTTTGGGGGATCTAATCGAGCACGTAAAACTATTAGGGGTACACGTATAACTACATAAAAGTTATGGGGCTAATATGGTGATCACGATTTCTGTTTACTGTATTTACCTTTTTATTATATATTAATATATTTTGTTTTTTTTCAAAAAACAAACCGGAGCTCTCCTCTCTCTCTCTTAGTTCTCCGTAGTTCCTGCATTCCTCGTACCTTCGCCCTGTCCAAGGGCGTAGAAGCGAAAGAGATACCGCCTCCGCCGTCGCCTTCGTTGCCGCCGCAGGTTCACGGCGTGGTCGCAACTCGGCTCTTTGGGATTGGCTTGGAAAGGTAATATAATCTCTAGTGGCTACTGATCACGCCCTCTCTCTCTCTCTCTCTCTCCCTCTCTCTCTCTCTCTTGGAGGAATGAGGGATGGGGCTAGGGCTTGTGCTCGGTGGAGATCAGTTTTCATCCGTGACTATTTTTTTTTTATGCTTCGCTTCCTTGTTCTTTAGCCGCTGATTTTTAATTCAAGCAGGGGCGGGCTCTGGGAACTACAGAAGCAAGTTCTCCTCTGTTAGATTCCGATGTAAGTTCCGTGTTAACCCTAATCTCCATGGTGTTTATCGGTTGAGTTGTAATGAGTTCGGGTGCATTATTCGTTGTTGTAGATTTATTGATTTTGCTCTTGTCTTAGGGTTTATTTGTGAAGCGCGTGTGCTATTCGTAGGCATTTCTATATATTTTTTTCACTGCTTTGATTTTTACGTGTATGGTGGATGGTTATTTGATGTTTGTGATTGTAGGGTTTTTGGAATTCTATATTATGAAATGGTTTTATCACTTTTGGGTTTCTAATGGTCTCCACTTAGTTTCTTAGTCCTATTTTTGCCTTTCGATTTGTGCCCAGAATTTTGTTTTGTACCTAGCATCTTGCAATTGCATTGTGTAAGTCTAATTTCGTGCAGTTTGTGGATTTCTTTTGATTGTTGCTGGTGAAGGAATATAAAAGTTTAAATACTAAGATGGGTGGGGTGGGAGATGTTACCGGGGGAGAGAAGTTAATGGTAATGGAGAACGGTTTCTCAAAAGGGCCTCAGTCTTCTCCTAGTACAAGTTTCCCTCCAGCAGTTGGTGCTCCTGCTCAGAAAGGTTTACAAGGGAATGATGCCCTTTCTTATGCCAATATTCTGCGGTCGAGGAACAAGTTTGCTGATGCTCTTGCTCTCTACGAATCTGCACTGGAGAAAGATAGCAGAAATGTTGAAGCTCATATAGGAAAAGGGATATGCTTGCAGATGCAAAACAAAGGGAGGCTAGCTTTGGATAGTTTTTCAGAAGCAATTAGGTTGGACCCACAGAATGCGTGTGCCCTCACACACTGTGGTATACTTCATAAAGATGAAGGACGCTTGGTTGAAGCTGCTGAGGTTTGATAATCTCTTTGCCTTGCTTGACCTTATAACCTATTAACTCAATGATATGATAATTGATAAGCCTCCCTGACGGTATATTCTAAGTAAGCCAGTTTCTAACCTGCAATCATTTTACTGTACATAGTCTTATCAGAAAGCATTGATGGCAAACCCTTCATACAAACTAGCGGCAGAGTGCTTAGCAGTTGTTTTGACCGACCTTGGGACTAGCCTAAAGCTGGCTGGAAACACTCAGGAAGGGATTCAAAAATATTATGAAGCTCTTAAGATTGATCCGCACTATGCTGTAATTTCCTGATCCTATGTGTTCATTCCTCTTGTATATGATTGCTTATGTTTTGTTCTTCCTGTTACATTTTGTTTGTTTTGGTTCAAAATTCTGAATTTTTTTCATACAGCCTGCATATTACAATCTAGGTGTTGTGTACTCTGAAATGATGCAATACGATTCCGCCCTGAGTTGCTATGAGAAGGCTGCACTAGAGAGGCCTATGTATGCTGAAGCATATTGCAACATGGGGGTCATCTACAAGAACCGCGGGGACTTGGAGACAGCAATTGCTTGTTATGAGAGGTATCTCATTTCTGTTTTTAATCGTAATATGTGTTGGCAATGTCTTAATGTGGTTGATAGTTTTGTGAAATGTTTGACACTGTTGTACTGCTTTCTTTTTTGCCCTTAGATGCCTATCTGTCTCTCCTAACTTTGAGATTGCGAAGAATAATATGGCAATAGCTCTGACGGATTTAGGGACAAAGGTAAAAATCTGTACTATCATCCTGCTTTGGTATGTCTTTGTTCATGCTAGCTTCATCCTCTTACCTCTTTTGAATCGAGATTTAACTCTTCAGTGATATTCAGTTCCTTTTGAATTCTTTTGTTAACGTATTTACTTCTTAGAGACAAATTGTGCTTCAGATACCGTACTACTACTATTACTCCTCCTCCTATCAGTCTACCACCACTAGTTATTCCAAATATTTATCAAGGCGAAACGTAAGGTCTGAAATATTTGTCAAGGGCAAACATAATGTGTTACCTTTAAGAATAGCCGATGGGGATACTGTTTCTTCGAGGTATATGTTAGGCCTTCTTCCAGAAAATTCTTCATAGAATGTTTTGTCTTGGTGACTTTTTGCTATCTGTGCTTTTGACCTATCTTACATTACATGTGTCATTGAGTAGTATTCATTTCCTCTTATAACGAAGATTTTTTCGGCAGAAGTTCATTTTGCTAAGAACAAAGATTATTTCCTATTTCTTTGCTGACCATCAGTTGGTCAGCTATGTATATCTAATCAACCTTCACGGAAAATGTTTTTCAGATTAAACTTGAAGGCGATGTGAACCAGGGAGTGGCATATTACAAGAAGGCTTTGTATTATAATTGGCACTATGCTGATGCTATGTATAATCTTGGGGTGGCTTATGGTGAAATGCTGAAATTTGACATGGTACATGATTTGTGGTAATTTTTTTATTATCTGTGTGTCCTTGCTTGTTTTCAATCTTTGTGTATTGCCCCAGGACCTCTCTGCCTACAATCTTACTATGTTCCTGTCTTTTCTCTTTTACTTTCACCACCATCCATCTTCTCTTATTATCAATGCGAAACACCATATGGAGATTCCTGTTGCCATTACTAAGCTGTGAAACTTGAAAACTTGAGTCTGAGGAAGCAAATGTATCTTGTTTATATGGACCTTGGATTTCCTTATGTTATTTTGTATATTGATAGCACACTATAGCTGCCTGTGATCATGGTTACTTTCTTTATGTGCAGGCAATTGTCTTCTATGAGCTTGCTTTGCACTTTAATCCACATTGTGCTGAGGCTTGCAACAATCTGGGTGTAATTTACAAAGACCGTGACAACCTTGATAAAGCTGTGGAGTGCTACCAGGCAAATTTTCTGATCTGCAGCATTTTCCCTCATTTCTTTGTTACTCATGTCATAATAAGTGTTCTGAATCTGTATATAGATGGCCTTGTCAATCAAACCGAACTTCGCACAGTCATTGAATAACCTTGGTGTTGTATATACAGTCCAGGTCTGTTACAAATTATAGCTCAATGCCTTCTTAGTTGGATCTTCTTAGGATCAATTGAATGCTGATTCCTCCGTTTTGGCAGGGAAAAATGGATGCTGCTGCCAGCATGATCGAGAAAGCTATCCTTGCAAATCCAACTTATGCAGAAGCATATAACAATCTAGGTTCACATTTCTTTCTCTGTTCTTTGGATTCTTGTTCGTACACTGCCTGTTTTAGAAATTCTACTGAGCATCATATATTTATATCTTATTTTCAACTCCTGTTAATGCATATTCCTTTTTTAAGAAGCAGTTCAAATTTTTATTTGCTGATTGGATGTGTTTAGTTATGCTTCATAGTATTGATATAATCTTTTTGTACAACAGTGGAACATTTTTTTTACTGATACTGTGTCAGAACTGGAGTCGTAGAAGATACTTTGACTATATTTTCTTCTTTCATGTACTTATCCCGTCAGAGGTTATTTGTTCTGTTTCGTCTGTTGTCAGATGAAGACATTAGTGTAAAAGTTACAATCTCTTTTCTTCCCTCCCTCTCCTACTTGTAGGCTGCCAACTTCTTCTCTGACCCAGTTGACATTTTACTTCCGTTATAACTAGACTTCATGGTGTGATTCAAATGTAGGTGTTCTTTACAGAGATGCTGGAAATATTCCTATGGCAATTGATGCGTATGAGCAATGCCTTAGGATAGATCCAGATTCTCGCAATGCTGGCCAGGTAAATCTTGGATATCCTTTTTCTGGTGTGCTCTCTTATTCTATCTTAATATAAGGTGTATATTCGCCCAAACTTTTCTTCTGATGTAGAATCGATTACTTGCCATGAACTACATAAATGAAGGACATGATGACAAACTATTTGAGGCTCACAGGTTTGCACATTTATTTTATATTTCCCAGATTTTATTGACTTGGGTTTGCTGAACTGGTGCTTTAATGGAACTCCATGGAAACTCTTATGAATGCAGAGACTGGGGTAGACGCTTCATGAAGTTGTATCCACAGTACACTTCATGGGACAATTCAAAAGATCCAGAGCGACCTCTTGTCATCGGATATATTTCCCCTGATTTCTTTACGCATTCTGTATCTTATTTTATCGAAGCGCCTCTTACACATCACAATTATACAAATTACAAAGTGGTGGTTTATTCAGCTGTCGTTAAGGTATGGATTATCTCTCAGAAACTTGTGTTTCTATAAGCTTGTGACTCAACATCTAGTGTTTCTATAAAAATGGTGACCAGGGAAGACTTTGTAGGTGGAAATGATAATCTTGGAAAGTCTTGGTAAAAAATTATCTTGGAAACTATTGGAAAGCTTTTGTTGTAATTTTATTGGCTCCAACATCTTTCGCCAGGGCTCGAACTTCCTTCGTAGTTATTCTATTAATTGGAAAACTGGAACTTCCTTCCAATTTTCCAATGATCAGAATGACTATGTTGCTATCTGTATATGCAGTAAAGGGTTCTTTTCCACACATCTTTGATTCCCAAATTCTTTCTTCTCGCTTGTAGTGGTTGTGTTTCTCATTCTGTATGTTTGGGACCAAGATGATTATGTTACAAACTCATTGCGTTGCAGGCAGATGCAAAGACATATAGGTTCAAGGAAAAAGTGTTGAAGAAGGGTGGAATGTGGAAGGAAGTATATGGGGTAGATGAGAAAAAAATTGCAAGCATGGTACGAGAAGACAAGATTGATATTTTGGTAGAACTTACTGGACATACAGCCAACAACAAGTTGGGAACCATGGCCTGTAGACCAGCACCTGTTCAGGTAACACTTGTGGTGATATAGTATCTGTGTTCTTGTGTTTTTCGTTTTGACACAGACACTCCAGTTCAGTTTATATAGTCGAGCGGACTAATTTGGGTTGTATTTCAGGTTACTTGGATTGGGTATCCAAATACGACGGGTTTACCCTCTGTTGACTACAGAATTACGGATTCATTATCTGACCCACCAGATACCAAGCAAAAGTAAGTTCTAGCTCTAGTTTTCAGTCTTTCTGAAAGGGATAGTTTTAGAAGAATTTCTTGGGCTTTGAGTATTTCGAATAGATCCTAACTGCAGGATGTTTGTTTGGTCAAATGTAGACTGTCCAAATTCTTCTTTGTTTTTAAAATTCTTTTCCTAACAGGCATGTTGAGGAGCTGGTTAGGCTTCCAGAGTGCTTTCTGTGTTACACACCTTCAGCAGAGGCTGGTCCTGTTTGTTCAACTCCTGCACTTTCCAACGGCTTTGTTACATTTGGTAGTTTTAACAATCTTGCAAAGGTAGTCTCATTCTCTTTTGGATCATGCCAAAGCCCCTTGATAAATGTTTTCCTTAATTTTTTTAGTGGGATTTTTAGTATTCTTCTCGTCTTTCATGTGATCAGATCACGCCCAAGGTTTTGCAAGTTTGGGCCAGAATACTATGTGCAGTTCCTAATTCTCGGTTAGTGGTGAAATGCAAGCCGTTCAGCTGCGATAGTATCAGACAGAGGTTTCTCACGACCCTCGAGCAACTGGGGTTAGAATCAATGCGTGTTGATCTTTTGCCCCTAATTCTTTTCAACCATGACCATTTGCAAGCTTATTCATTAATGGATATTAGGTAAGTTTACAACATATTCGCTGTTAATAGTTGAGCTGATTTTCATGGACTTTCTGGTTCACCTCGATTGGATTTTGCTTGATATTATCTTGTAAATCATAAATTTAGAATACAATATGCGCTTTCTGTAGTTTGGATACGTTCCCGTATGCTGGAACTACCACTACATGTGAATCTCTCTACATGGGAGTTCCATGCATTACAATGGCTGGGTCAGTTTATGCTCCTAATGTAGGTGTCAGTCTTCTAACTAAAGTCGGTAAGCACTTTCCAGCTCTTCATGCTCATAATGTAGGTGTCAGTCTTCTAACTAAAGTCGGTAAGCACTTTCCAGCTCTGACCTTTGCTATTATCAGCTCTAGCCTTTTATATTAACGGTTCATGCCAGTGATATAACTCATTATATATGCTCTCGTTTAAGCTGATGCATCATTCTCTTGATTCAGGACTAGGACATCTGATTGCAAAAACCGAAGATGAATATGTTCAGACAGCTATTGAGATGGCCTCTGATGTTACAGCACTAGCCAAGTCAAGGATGAACCTCCGAGATCTAATGGCTAAGTCCTCGGTTTGTGACGGTCCTAACTTCACCCTCGCTCTTGAATCCGCATACCGGTCCATGTGGCGGAGATACTGCGAAGGTGATGTTCCGTCCTTACGACGCATAGAAATATTACAACGGGAGGTTCCAGAAGATTCCACCCCAAGAGATTCCACAACCTCGAGATCCGATGCCCATGGAGGAGAAGACACTGCAAAAGCCAACGGTTATGTTCCGGTACCCTCATCGATGTCAACCAGAACCAAGAGGATGGGATCCAGTTGAACTGAAAGGCTAGATAGAGACAGAAATCTGGTAGATCAAAGATCAATCCCGTGACTACGTAAATTGATTGGTACGAGGCACGGAATTTCTGTTGGTCTGTCCCCTGAAGGGTTCGATTCTCAGCACGAAACAGTAGCCCGGTCTTTGTGGATTCTACAGGCATTTGGTGGATAGGATTTGGAAGAGAGTATGAATGAATGAATCTCATTTCTTCTGCTCTCTTGGAAGATTAGTAGGGAAGTTAGGGTTTAGGGATTGTGTATTACAAGAACAGCAGTACCCTTTTGCCTTGAGATTCATTTCCTTGGTTCATAGATGATGATGGTGATGGTGATGGTGATGATTCCTGGGACTGTTGGATTCTGAGTTTGTTGTGTATTGATATTTGATATGCACATTCTCAAGTGCCAAGAGTATTTGGCGATAAATAGTAGGGTGATTGGATAGGGTTTTTTACCCAAACAACCCACTTCGTTCACATCTATTTCACCTGTACACCACAAAAAACATAACACATTTTTTTTCCTGTAAAAAGACGAAATTACCCTTAATGAATCACGATATTTATCCATTCAAAAACAATTTCGTTATTACGACTTCGTAATTAAGTCTAAATATAGTTACAATTGATTCTTAAAAAAGTGGCAAAAAAATTATCTGCCTTATTTTAGTTGTATATCAGTTATATGTTAGTCGTAATAAAGTCGCAAAAAATAAAACGAAAAGGGTATTTCGGACTTTTCCACCTGAAAAGTGGGTTAAAATTGAAAATTTTTTTTTTTTTTTTTTTGATGGTGTACACTGAAATAGATGTGAATGAAGTGGGTTATTTGGGAGATTTTCCCGATTGGATATTGGAGTTTTTTTTTAATTATCTGAATAGATTTCATATATTATGAATTCATTTTGGTTAGATATCCGTTTTTTGGTATTCAAAATTTTCAAAGTAAACATCATTAGTTGTTATAATTCAATCTCATTTTATATAAATATTATATCCCAAATTTGGGATAAATACTAATAGTGGTCTAAGCGTAAGCGAAAGCTTTCTTTTGTGTTTTGCGTGTTTCGGTTTTGGGGAGTTGCGGTCTATTTGCTTTTTAGCCCGGTCTGATCCGGTACGGTTCTGGGGAGTTGCGGTTTGTACGTTAACCGAAGCCCGGGAATCCTCCATTCCACTCCAATGCGACCAGTTCGGCTGCCGGCTTTTGCAGTTGGTTCCACTGGTTCGCCGGAGAAAACCTCCGGCGTTATCAGACGAGCACTTGTGGTTGGAAACGGTTGCGCCGGTGCGGAGAACCAGTGTATCGGCCTTGTTCGTGCTCTAGGCCTCGCCGATCGCTACATCTTATATGTAATCTCTTCCCATGGTGTTTCTCGGCCAGTTTCTTGAAAGTTCTGTGTCCTTGTTTGATGGTTTCGAGCTTTTTTTTGCTGGTCAGAGAGTCACTAGGCCACGAGGAGGTATCAACAGGTGGCTTCAATGGCTTCCGATCTCTCTCCACAAAAGACTCGATTGTGTAATTGGCAAAATTCGCGCTGGATTCGCCAATAAAGCAAAGGACACAATCGTTTATGCGGATGGAAGATCCGGTGGTAGTTCATTCCTTACGAAATTCGAGCGAACTTAAAGCTCTCCATCTGGATCTTTTTTGTCTGGTCGTTCAATTGGTGTGGAATGATGACCTAGCAAGGGAGTGATGGCGGTTTTTTTCCATGAAAAATGGCTGCAGGAATGTTGGGCGTTTTTCCGGAAGCTGATGAGAAGCAGATTGCTGCCATGGCTCGTAGTACGTTCGACAAGTACTGCTTTGTCTTGTGAAATTATTATTAACTACTCGAATGTGTTCTTCTGTCTTTATTATCTGTACATAGTTTGCTTAGTGATTCGTCTCTCCCCTTCTCGTGGATCCTTGAGATTATTCTTATTGAAGGTTCGAGATGTTATATTTTGTTTTTCTATTGCCTTATGACAGGAATGGCCCCTTGTTAGTGGTGGCATCTGGTCATGACACCATTTCTGTTGCAAGCTCCATTAAACGACTAGCTCGGGACAATGTCTTTGTTGTTCAGGTTAAGCCATTTCCTCGATGTAATATTCTTGGTCCTTTATTGTTGTATGATGGTTTGACACTTTTCAATGTCTCTGAGCTCCGTAAATGCTCAGGGATTTCTGCTACTTGTTTGTAAATTTGCTGTAAACTAAACTTCATATTAGACTATCCAGTAACTTGTCTGCTGTTTTCCTGGGGAACCCTTTTCAGGTGCAACATCCTAGGTCAAATCTTGAGAGATTTGATCTAGTGATTACACCTCGTCATGATTATTACCCTTTAACTCTGGAGGGGCAGAGGCAAATTCCCACTTTTCTTCGGGCATGGGTAACTCCACGTGAACCTCCCGGTAGAAATGTGGTATGTGTGTTTACAGTGTTCAGTAGAAGATATACCAATTCGTTATCCTATCGCCATGACTGATTAGACATCTGGGTGTGTGCATGAAGCTAACAAGCTAAAATTTAAAATTCCAGTTTCTGACCGCTGGGGCTCTCCATAAGGCTGATTCTTCTGCCCTAAGAAGTGCAGCTTTGGCATGGCAGAATGAGCTGATTCCGCTACCGAAGCCTTTGGTTGTGGTCAATATTGGAGGACCTACAAGTACTGCAGTGTGCCTCCATAAACATCGTTTCTTGAATTGATCCTTTGACTGAAAAAGCTGGTTGATTTTAAGCGATTAACCAGCCACTCTTTTTTCTTAATTCCGTAGGAAACTGTTTTTATGGTGTTGATCTTGCGAAGCAGTTGTGTGCTATGCTTCAAAGTGTCCTCTGGAGTTGTGGAAGCGTAAGAATTTCTTTCTCAAGAAGGACACCCGAACAGGTAAATGCCTCTTGAAAAGTGTGGGTAATATTTGATTGTGTGGATGTGCTCTCAATCCTGTAACGTTGGCAGGTATCAGAAATTGTAATTAAAGAATTTAGCTTGAATTCTAAGGTCTACATTTGGAACGGCCAAGGTGAACGCCTTTTCCGAATTCCATTTGATGCATTTGCGGCCTAATTAATATCAAAGACCAGACTCTTAATCCTTCTTCCATTTCTCAGGACCTAACCCACACATGGGTCATCTAGCATTGGGGGATGCTTTTATTATAACCGCTGACTCAGTCAGTATGTTGAGTGAGGCATGTAGTACTGGGTATATTGGACACAACGCTCTGAGATAGCTTAAATTTTGTGTTTTGATTCCGTTCTTTTTAACGGGCTGAGCTTCATTTCCTTTAGACGATTACTAAACCGTGTTTTGGGATACAGGAAACCGGTGTATGTTGTGGGGGCTGAGCAGTGCACGTGGAAATTTGCAGACTTCCAGAAGACCCTCCATGAAAGAGGAGCTGTTCGTCGGTTTACTGGCAAAGAAGATGTACATCGAAACCTTGTTAGCTAAAATTTCATCAGAAAATCTCTGCCTAACTTTAAGATTCTGGTTGGATTTTGATTACGTTGCAGATATCTAAGAGGTGGAGCTATTCTCCTCTCGACGATAACAAAGTAGCTGCAAGACGGGTTCTCAAGGATCTTGCCAAGCGCGGATGGACAGTCAAGACATGACTACTCCACTTGGAGTTAATGTTCTTTCTTATTGTGTGGCATGCGGAAATCGAACTCGTGGATGTAGGTTTGGCTCAGAGCAGGTAAGCCCCCCCTGTAAGAACAAATTTTTGCAGGGTTTTTGCTTATGTAAAATGCTATTGCATAGCAATGGAGAATTATATGGTTTATGAATCAAAGTGAATATATATATATATATATATAATAGAACCAAAAAAGCAAAAGATCGTACTCCGTTTTTATTATGTAACGGCTTTATTCCTATGAAGCAACTTACCCGGATAAATTTTTTAAAAAAAGGAAAAATTTGCGGGGAGGATTTATGGTATCGAGAATCCCACATCGGAAGGATGAGAGAGGTAGAAACCAAGAGACGCTGTATAAAATAAGGCTCGCGTCGAAGGAAAAACTCATACCTTTCTCGGCCTTTTGGCTAAGATCAAGTGTAGTATCTGTTCTTATCAGTTTAATATCTGATACGTGGGCCATCGGCCCACAACGATATTAACTCTATTTTTTATGGGGGTGAGTCCATCACGGTAGCTTGCTACTGGGTCTCACGAGCGTCGCCCACGCGTTGCACTACAGCGAGGGCCTGGCGCACCCCTCCAAATATTGGACTCAAATTTTTTTTTTGCTATTTCTAAATGTTGATATAATATTTAATTAAGTATTTCTATGAATCTGCCCTTATTCAAGATTGATTAAAATTAGTTGATTTCAAGTAGTCTTTGTTTGTATTTAATTAAATGTGGAATCCCACATCGGAAGAATAGAACCATACCAGTCGAGGTCCACCGATAAATATTTGCGGTCTCTCAAATAACATAAAATGTTTTGTCTTCGAACAAACGTGGGGTTTGAGCACATCTTTTTATCAAAAAAATGTGAAGTTTGAGTAATGGAGAACTGACATCAGCAATTACCAAGACAATTTATATGAAGACAGAAACCACCATGGCTTCAAGAGAGATCTCTCCATCTTTGACTTTCTTCTCCGAATAGTGCCGCCATTGTTGCAGCCCTTGCAGCGGCCGCCACTATGGGAACCAGTGACGAGACCCTCCCTTTCTTCACTCAGTTCTTCCAGTTCCAAGCCAAGCTATGACGATCTCCGTACTTTTCAGTATATGACCATATGGCTCGTGGTTTGTGGTTTGTGTTATACTGTTGGATTAAGGATTGAAAGCGAGTAAATGACAAGTTTTCTTGTCTATTTCTTTTTAAGCATAGATTCTGTCTGAAAGTTGAACAACCTCTCACTATTACATCGGAATTAAAAGATACTAATTTTTGTTGTGTTCAGTGCTTCTTTTTTTTTTAAAGAAAGTAGAACAGCCTCTCACTATTATCCCACATCGGAATCAAAAGAAACTAATTTTTGGGGCCTATCAATGGGTTGGGCCAACTGAGCTAATGGGCCCATTAGCCCACTGGGCCTAAAGAAACGTCCAGCAAGAAGGTTCACATAATGTGAATTAATCACAGACAATAATAAAACAAGAAATGGTCTGGGAAATTCCATTTTCTGATCTTGAAACCTTAGAAATCGTGAGGATTTGTTCTTGGAATTGCATGAGATTAAGAACATTAATTACTGAAAAATTATGTTTGTCGTTTATTTCTGCCGCCATTCTATATAGCTATTATTCCCTAATTTGGTTTCAATTGCCAACCAAAAATAATTAAATGATGCTTCTTACGTGGCAGTATGTTATTGGAGGAAAAGACGACCGAAGAATTTCCTCGTCCGGGCATATGTTCTGTGATTTTCCGTTTCACCACGTCTTCGGATAAAGAGGCTCTTCGTGCCACGTCATCATCCCCTCCCCCCTCCAGGTCTCCAGCTATCACACACGAGCCAGCTTTCCTCGTTTTCCTTCATTTTCTCGTCAACCAAACAGGGAAATTTTCATGTAGATGGCTGTCAAGCTCCATCGTCCGAGTCTTGTCTCTTCAAGGTAACTCCAAACTCGTGGCTTTCTGGGTTTGGGTTTTGATTTTGATTTCATTTCCCCTATCAGTTTCGGTCTGCTTCAGTTCTCGGTCACTGCCGAGGAATCCTGTTGAAACGAACTAGGGTTTTTTCCGACCCTCGTCGATTGCTTTAGTTTGCAGGATTCAATTTCCTTTTGCGATTTTGTCTCGGACGATGATTCTGCACGTATTTAGTTTATACCTCACTCGAATTGGCTTCTTCTTCTCTCCCTCTCTCGTTGGGTAAAATATTCGAGTTGACTTCACTGTTTGGTTGCCGAGAAACCAGGGCTGGTGAAATGACTTAGAACTGGAAGAAGAGAATAGAAAACAGAATGAAAGCGCTGAAAGAGTTAATCTTTTGCAGTAATATATTCGATTTTGTGAATATTTGGTAGAATTAAGTCCATGACTGAAGCTATAAGAAATTTCTTCTGAACAAATTGTTCCCTGAAAATGTATGTTAGTTCAGTTCTTGGTGTTGTGTTCCCTGTGGGAAATCATTTCGTGTGCAAGTCTTGATGGTGACTTACAAGTGAAGATACATATTTATTTCTTCTGAGGAATATTGTGGCTAGATTATGTATTTCCCCTGGACATTCTGTATATGTTACCAATGGACCGGTCTTTTGGCTTATTGGCTGCTTACTGATATAGTCTTGTCTTTGTAGTTCTTCAAATCCATGTCTGTCACAGATGTCACTCGGAACCTTCATATCCTGCAAACGGGTAGTACAGTTAGATTATCCATCAAGCTGTTGGGGTCTTTCAAGGAGCCAATTGTGTCTAAGATATGGCTTTCTAGATAGCAAAAACAGTGGTCTTAATAGGCAACAATTTGGCAACAAGAAAACAGTATATGAATCACGGAGGATAGTGCAGCCTCCTCTTCTTGCATCTTCAGAAGATGGAGTGGCTGTTAATGGGAGTTCCCAGACAAGAACTAGCAGTAATGTCGAGGAGATTAGGGCCAAACTTGCTGAATCACTACAGGATGAAAACAACTCAGATGGACTCATCCAGTCTTTGTATGATGCTGCCAGAATTTTTGAATTGGCTGTTAAAGAGAAGATTTCATCATCCAGATTATCATGGTTTTCAGCAGCCTGGCTGGGTGTGGATAGAAATGCATGGGTGAAAACACTTTCTTATCAGGTTTGTGTCGTTTAGTTTCGCATTTCTATTTTCCACTATTCAATTATAACATTTACATTGGTTGAGAATGATTGAACTGGTGTGTTCCCTGCTAATGCAATGGTATGATGATAGATAACTTGGCATCTTGAATTGAAAGTTATTTGCTAGCCACTATCAGACCAAGGTTGTGTTCGGTGAAGAATAGAGAAAATTTTACCGCTTGTACATATATTATTTGTAAGTATTTCTTTTCATATTTTATCACCAATTGCTCAAGCCATCTTACTTTCATCATTCTCAGGCCTCCGTGTATTGCTTACTGCAAGCTGCAAATGAAATTTCGTCCAGAGGAAACGATAGAGACAAGGATGTTAATGTCTTTGTTCAAAGGAGGTATTGCATCACTTACTTGAGGGATTTGGTGCACATTATTTCTTAAAGGTCCTGTTAATGATCTCAGCTATTTCAACTGAGATAATCTCTTTTTTTAAGCCGAATGAAACTCAAGAAAATTGTATTAGATGAAGCAATGGGCAATGTTCTTTATTGTCTTGCAAGTACTTTTCTTTGCCCGATAATGTGAATTTTTTCAGGATTGGCCATTGCTTTTTGACCCTAAACAAACTTTTCTAGACTGCTTCATGACTATACCTGTTTTTAACGTTCTAACTGTGACATCATACAGCTTATCGCGCCAAATTGCTCCCCTTGAGAGTATGATCCGGGAAAAATTTTCTTCCAAGCAGCCCGAAGCTTCTGAGTGGTTTTGGTCCGAGCAAGTTCCTTCTGTGGTGACATCTTTTGTGAATTATTTCGAGAGGGAGCAGCGCTTTGTTGCGATCACTTCTATGTATGTCCTCTGTTTAATATTTTCTTCTCATTAGTAAGTTCTGTGTTATATTTGTTTGCTGAGGTTCTAGAGAGTGACACTGCTTTATGATTCTTCCAGATCTGCGAAAAGCAAGTCAGCTGCAAGCAACGAGATTGAGGTGTCGCTTCTCACGCTTGTCCTAGCCTGTGTTGCGGCAATCACAAAACTCGGTCCAGCAAAACTTTCCTGTTCGCCCTTCTTTTCTGTGATTCCGGATACAACTGGAAGACTGATGAACAAACTTGTTGACTTTGTTGCAATACCTCAAGCTTATCATTCACTGAAAAGCATTGGCCTACGCAGAGAATTTCTCGTTCATTTCGGCCCCCGAGCAGCAGCATGCAGAGTGAAAAATGACCGAACTTCAGATGAAGTTATCTTCTGGGTTGATCTCGTACAAAAACAGCTGCAGCGAGCTATAGATCGGGAGAAAATATGGTCAAGATTAACGACATCTGAAAGCATCGAGGTAAGCATTAAACGCTTGCAGAGGACACATCCAAGCAGCATCTAGGCTTTCTGTGACTCTACAAGTAGGCCTTGTTTAATGTTTAAAAATATTTTAAGCATAGATTAAACGCCAGGAGCAGAATACCTTATTGAAAATTGTAAATTAGAGCCAGTCCATGTCAAATGTGTTTGATATCTTCTCTGACAATTATCAAAGATGCTCATAATGAGACACTTAAACATACAAAAATAAAGTATGAAAATAGATTTAGTATAAGGGCTATTAACTTTCTTTAGTGTTTTGAATTTGTTTTTGAATTCATGGGGACACGGTGCTGATACCTTGCAGGTTTTGGAGAGAGACTTAGCTATCTTTGGATTCTTCATTGCCTTGGGCAGGAGCACTCAGTCTTTCTTAGCTGCAAATGGTTTTGATCCACTAGAGAATCCTATGGAAGACATTGTCAGGTAATTGTAATTGTTTGGCCATCGTTGTGACCCTCACTTTCTGAAGATCTATGTTTTCTGATCAAACTCTGCTTATACTAGTTTACTGTCTGGTTCTCTTATTCAGGTATCTTATTGGAGGCAGCGTTCTGTATTATCCTCAACTTTCAGCCATTAGTTCATATCAACTGTATGTAGAGGTAGGCATAAGTAATTTTATCAATAGTACAAATGTCCTCTGACTTTGTTGTGATGTCTTATCCGGAAATATATGATATAGGTTGTTTGTGAAGAACTAGAGTGGATTCCTTTCTATCCAAATACTACCAGCACACAGCAACTGAAACAGTCCCATGGGCATAAGAGCAGACCAGAAGGGCCACCAAATTATAAAGCTATTCCCCAAGTTTTGGATGTCTGCTCTTATTGGCTGCAGAGCTTTATTAAATACAGTAAATGGCTGGAGAACCCTTCTAATGTCAAGGCAGCAAAATTCTTATCCAAGGGGTAATTTGGCTTGTTGTTAACTTAATACTTGAATAACATTATTTAGCGATCTTGACAAGTTATCTTTCTCAATATTTAGGCACAGCAAGTTGATTCAATGCATGGAAGAACTCGGGATATCAAAGTAAGGTCATGAAAATAACTTCTCTTCTTCATTAGTCTATAAATTCATGCATGTATCCAGAAAATGTTTCTGTCTCACGAAAAGACTTTTACAAATGTTGATATTTCATAAGAAATACTTGTGCCTCTGCTCGAAACATATCTTCAAACAAACTTTTTTAAGCTTGTTTCTTGGATGTCTATGTAATTTCATATTTCCTCCTTGCACGAAAGCACGATTCAAAATCATATCTTCATGCCCTTTGAATTTTACACATTTGTTGTTCTGGATCCTGCCTTCACCAAGATATAGCCAATGCTGTTAACTATGTGTGTTTGGATAACATGTGATATAGGATGACCGGAGCAGAAGCCAGTTTTATCGAAGGAAATGCATCATCAACTAATAAAGACAACTCATTTGACAAGGTGATGCCTTATTAAGTGCCAGAGTCCTTCTGCGTACGCGATTTGAATCTAATTCCTTGTTAAAAAGTTTTTAGCATGCCCAATGTAATATAGATGATAATGGCTGTTGGTTCCAGGCATTAGAAAGTGTAGATGAGGCCCTTATCAGATTGGAAAGCCTGCTACAGCAGCTGCATGTATCAAGTTCTTGTTCTGGAAAGGAACAAATAAAAGCTGCTTGCTCTGACCTAGAGAAAATAAGGAAACTTAAGAAGGAAGCTGAATTTCTGGAGGCATCTTTCAGAGCCAAAGCGGCTTTCCTGCAACAGGTTTTTAATTTTCAGCATTATTATTATCTTCTATCCTTAGTTTATAATATGTGGTCTCAGTGTTGACATTTCAATTCCGTTTTGATGGTGTTTGCTCTCGCTATACTAGACCAAATCAGAACAAATGTTTGTGAGGTTATCTTTCAAAGCCCAGAGTATCAGCATCATACATTGTTCCGTTATTAGTTTTACATATAAGACTGAAACCTTGTGTGGATTACTCAGGAAGATGGTGAAAGTGATTCCCAGCAGTCCTCCGAGGATCAACAGTATTCAAAAGGGAAAGTCACAAAGGCCGCGGATAATATGGTAGATCATGGCAGAAGGTGAGCTATCTGTTTTGTTAGCCATGTAACGCTCTTCCCCGCCGATTTTCCGTGCGATGGCTCGGCCAGGGTT